TATGTAAATAATGTATATATTTATAATTTATTTATATTTAATTGTATTATCAAAATCTGTAGTATGTGTTGTTGATTTCAAGTATGTATAACATCTATATGTTTGACTTTTGTTATTATTATTACTATTCGTTCTTTGTCTGAAATGTTTTATTCTGTTATGTTTATTATTATTGAACTTATACTTGGCAATTTGTTTCACAATAACTTGTCTACGATATCACGTGGACATCAAATTCCGGGAAGGAACGAACGATTCTAAAAATAAAACTATTTTATGAACGTCTGGTCTTCATTAACATAATATATACTCAGCCAAATTAAAAACTTGACACTCGGGATTTTTGGGACTAGATTTTTAATACATGTATTTGGTTTAAGGCAACTATTTTAGTGTTATGTTGTGCACAGACGACCTTGACATCAACAGAAAGCAAGAATACGTCTCGCCGAAAGTCCTTGACATTGATAACGTTCCTGATGTCACAGTACCCCCCAAAATGAAATTCATAGACTTGGAGAACAATCGGAATAAAGTGTTTAGTAACGGTTGTGGCCTCCTCTAGCGTCTCGTACTGCCACACAACGTCTTCTCATGGATCTCAGAACATTAGTAAACATTACCCGAGGAAGACGTCGCCACTGCTCAGCAAGAGCATGTTGAAGGTCCTGCAACGTCAGTGGTGGATTCACTTGCTGACGACACGTCGAATCGTCCCAGATGTGTTCAATAGGATTAAGGTTGGGGCTAAGCGACGGCCAATCCAGGACTTGGACACCGGCATTTTTTAAAAAATTCTGGGTAGCAATTGTTGTATGGGGTCGAGCATTGTCTTGTTGAAACGTTAGTCGAGGCACATGTCTCTGCATAAACGGAAGAAGAACAGGTTGCAAAATCTGATCCCTGTACTGGACAGCATTTAAGTTCCCTTTGACAACAACAAGAGGAGAACGTCCATGTGCACAAAAAGAACCCCAAACCATGACGCTGCCGCCACCAAATCGGTCAACTTCTCTGACGCATACTTGAGCGTAACGTTCACCTCGTCTGCGGTACACTCGGAACCTGCCATCGGCAAATCTCAAAGTGAATCGAGATTCGTCACTAAAGACAACCGAATTCCCCTATCTTTGAGTAAATTATATGTGTCTTGTGGCCCACACAAGTCGGTTACGGCGATGAAGAGGTGTCAATATTGGTCCATTATAGGGCCTCCGAGCTCAAAGATCAGCAGCCTGCAAGCGATTTCGAACAATTTGTGCATTTACACTTCCACCAAACATCTCTCTACTTGTGGAGGTTGCAGTGACAAATCTGTTTCTAAGATGACGTAATCGTATTGCTTGATCTTCCTGGAGTGACGTCACACGTGGCGCTCCCGCCCTTGGGCGGTCGGCAATAGTTCCAGTTTGAAGCACTCTCATTCGAAGATTAATTATTGTCTGGCGTGAACAATTAAAGGCTCTTGCAACAGTGACCACAGACTGGCCAGCATAGAGCCTACATATAGCACGTAGACGTTCTACATTTGAAAGGCGCGGCATTGTCTAACAAAGATGAAAATAACAATTTTAATTTGTTTTTCCAGTTCAAGTTACGTGTGCGTGTTCAGTTTAAGCAAACATGCATCGATTGACCTCACGAGTTTGTGTTTGCACGTGTTTTTCAGGTTTTTCATCCTTATATGCTCAAAAGTCACGTGATCCACGCGACTTTACAATTTTATGAAATTAAAGGCTTCTTACTACTTACTATCGTTAGAAACACTTTAAAATTTATTTGACTTACCAGAAAAAATTTTTTTGTTCAAATTCATCAGTGTCAAGTTTTTAATTTGGCCGAGTATATAATTGGTTGTTAATAATTACGCATTTAGAATAGGACAACTCCTAACATTGTCCGATGAGAGTTACTTACCTTTGCCAACTTCCTTTTCAAATAACAATTTATGGGATTGGTCGATAAAAATAGCACAATCATCAATGGTGGATAACTTGAAAACGTGTCTCCCCCATAGATTAACCCAGGGTATAGTGGAGAAGAACGGAATGAGTACACTGGGTAACCGAGGATGCATTCCACCATACTGAAGGTTGAATTCGTATTGGTGCTTTGGTCATTTTTAACAGAATTATATCATTCATGTTTGAAACTTTTAAAGTTGCATTTTCACTTCTGATGTCATCAACAACAATCTTTAAATCATAATTTAGTTCTTCAAGAAGTTTTATTTCTCCACACAGTAAGGCATTCTCGGTCTGGGTGTTATGGAGACATGAGGTGATTTATTTTAATTCCAATCTCAAATCGGCTACTGTAGATTCGAGAGCGGTTAATTCGTTTGATGATTAGTTAGACGGCTACGTGTACCGCTTTCGATCAATCTATTTATATTTGGCGATCTTTCCGGGACAGTAGACGACTTGGTCTGTTCTGTTTGATTGTTACTGGATTTTCAGTACCGATACCTTGACTTTTAGCATTCGTTTCAGTAGATGAAGGAAGTTCCCAAGAAATATTCCGCAGACTTGCTTCATATACGGAGGTAGTAGAATTAAGTGTCCGGGAGATCAGGCGTACTTAAAGGAGCTAAATCGCTAATACTTGGGGCCTAGAAATTGACCCAAATGGGTCGCAACGCATATAATAATGTAATCTGATTGTATATAAACTGATTTACATTCAATTGTTTCCGTTTTGACTCTAATTTCAAATCAGTTATGTCAAGCGAAATAAGGCAATTTCTAGCGTCTGGTTATTCAAGTCTATTCAGCAGGCTCTCCAGTTGAATATGTCTAGCCTCGTTCTTTCTGGTCACTTGTTGCAAATGACGCTAAAACGCACTATGGTACACGATTCGTGTACCAATGGTAAAATATTTATTTTGTCTTAAATATTGTATATCAGAAGCCTGCCTTTTCCTGGTAAGATCACAACATCAATGTTGATTTGAATTGACAAATAATTCGCATTTTCAACGCGTAAGACTTCGGATGATATTGAGTTAGAGACTTAGCTACTTTAAATCTTGGTTTTCATATGGACTGCCTGGGAAACTTTCCTCTGACTTTTCACTAGCTTGGTCAATTTGATGGCTCAAATTGGAGCTGTAATGCAGTGACTCTTTCACTATCTTACTTAAATCTTCAGCTCTTTCATTACTAATGAGGTCAACGATTTCGGGAAAGTGGTCGGTCTCCGGAGCCATTCACAAGGACAGTGGACGTGGTATTATAGTAATTGATAACATACTTGTAAGGTCTCTTACTTTCAAGCGAGATAATAGTCGTAACTGTATAACTGCAACTATTCTGTTTGTCTACCACAATCGTGGTATTTAAAGAGTGAGAAATGTGGTTTAATTTGGGTCATATCAGGACTTGCCAATAATATGGTGTATCTTTATTTCAATAATTTGATAGTGTGTATGGGTCTCTGGCAGTTGGGTCTCTAGCAGTTGATAAAAAACGGGACTCCATTCCTCGTCAAGTACAGTCCTGGGATCTAAACAACGACCTTGTCCACATTTACAGACCTTGTTTGAGTATTTAACGGAGTCGGCCTACAAATTACTTCATCCCTACAGTTTTTCTATCTGATTAAAATACAGATCTATATTTCGTTTCGTTTCTTTTATACTTTCGATGGCCTACACTACATGAAGATCTGTCTAGTTGTAGAGGAAGGCCCGTGAGGTTCGAGCGACCTTTGACCTTATGATATCAGACATTGATTAATCAATCAGCGTTCGCGTTTCTAGTGGTTTACTCAAAGTCACGTGCACTTCACGCCAAAACCTCTCCGTAACAGACCGTTTCATTGGCTAATTCCCCATATCATCCAGAAAGACCAGAACGCGGGTTATATAACAACTCTTCCAGGTCCTAATGTAGTAAAGACAAGTTAAACGAAACTTTGGACTATAAAAAACGAAACGAAATAGGATCTGTGTTTTAATCAGATTGAAATTCACATCTACCCTGGTCATCGGCGATAATATCATATCATATTCCCATCACCAAATCGTATTTTTGAAGTGGGACGGTCTTGTTAGACAGTACAATGATCCTGGAGAACATAGGCGAACGTTTGCCTCTGACTTTGATAATCTAGCTTAATCTTAGTTTTGAAAGAGATTTTCCATGTAACAAGCACCCGTGATTGACACCAACCAAGGAGCTTACAGGGAAAGTGTGTCAGAATTGACCCATTTGAAATTCAAAATGATTTGCCCCATTCCTTTAGAATGCTGTCGTCGGAAGTCGGGAATAGCGTAATGTCTAAAGTGCCCCCTTTGATCGAAAACGGAAAAGCGATTCGCCCGAATCTACGAATGTTTAATGTCTCTTTAGCATAATATATGTAATTGCAGGGTAGTTTAACGAATCTGAAGCACTGGGGCATATGGACGTCCGGAAAGGTTGTTCCACCCCGACGCGAGGAAATATTTGAATTTAAGGATACTTTAAGCCTAGCTCACAACCCGCCGTACGTGTTTTGACACGTACGCGTGGTGTTTGGTAGCTCGTAGGCCAGCCGCAAGAAATCAGGTGAAAATTTTGTATGTACAGGACCAAAAGTCTCTACGGCTAGTCCGAGATCTACGTTGTCTCACTTAGGCAAGCGACGCACAAGTCTTACACACGGGTTTACTAAAATTTCCCCCGTTGTAGCACGTACGGCGGGTTATGAGCTAGGATTTAGATGAGATTATAGATGTGAACGCCCTGGACTTTCTGTTAAAAGTTGATGTTTACCAAAATATACTACTTTGCATCTCTCAAATATTTCTAGGAAGGAGATTATTGTCCCGACAACGGCCTTTCTGTCTACTCTTCACCGAGCTTCGGCTGTCAGTGGTTCTTTTATGTGCACGACGGGTGCAATACGCATATACCAATACGCAAACAAGACGCAGCCGCAGACTCACCCACTCGACTCACACGGCAGAAAGGTATCAACGAAGTTGTCCGAGTTTGAAAAGAGATCATGTGATGCGTAAACTCGCCTTTCCTTTGTAAGTAAGTTGAGTTACCATCGGACGCTGGAAGTGCACGGATCGAGTATGTGGACAGCTATCTGACAACACGATTGGCACTGATTGAAGCCAGGGAAGGAGTTTAAAATAAACAGTAATAATTCAGCAGTATTAAAATATAATAGGGTATGCTATGTACATTTGTTTTTAAATCCCTAATGGTCGGATAAGCCTCACTTTTAAATCTATTGGTTAGCAAGTAGTGATTGCCAATCGACTGACTAAAACCCAGTTGTGACATTGATAGGTATTGTAAACAAACGATTGGTGAACATGCTCAAACAGTCGTCTAAACTAACGACGTAATTGTCATCATAAGCCCAACAACATGACAGACTTCTAGCACGGGAAAGATGTTAATGTACTGTAGACGTAGTACATGTTTTGATGTTATTTTAAAAAACCGAAGAGACTTTAGAATAAACGGGGCAAGACACTATATCATAATTTTAATTTTTAATCGCTGATCAGTCAATCGTATCCAGGAGACAGACCAAACCATATAAATTTATAAAACGTTTATTTTAAAATACTATTTGGCGTAAGAATCTGCCCATCACTCAAGTCAGGTATACTTTGTGGACAGATACTGATATGGACCTAACTTAGTTTACAAAAAGACAAAAGTCAATATTTTTCATCTCACTTAAATGAAACACACCATTTGTCTTTATATCTGTGAGATCTCGGGTTCGTGGATCTTATTCACAAGAGTTATTGCACTTGACAAAACAGTTTGTGAGATAACGTGTAAGGATATACATGTAGCGTGAAAATTTATTACAGAATAATAGCTCCAAGCTTTATAATTTGCATAGATGTAGCAAGAATATTTCCACAGATAATCGTCAGCAATTCTGAACACAGAGAACTATCCGCTTTGAGAATGTGATCTCAAACAGAGCTAATTGTATGCAGGCAGAGTAAGTTTCGTATATCTGTTGGACTCGATCTATTAAACATTTATTTCCAAAAGGGTTCCTTAACGGTAAAAGTTTTACCATTTTTGTAAATAAATGCAAGCTACGCTAATACTCTTAAGCATTGATACAGGAATGATAATGGGTTGTATTTTTTTTTCTAGATGGCTGCTCCACCTCCCTACCCCGGTTATCACCCTCCTGCAGCATATCCCCAGCCACATCCCGGCTATGCACCTCAACCCTATATGCAACCGATGCCAATGATGGTGAGTCTATCTTAATGCTAAATGAAGTTCTTTTGTCTTATATAATACGTTGTCACAGTTACACAGGGTATCTGTTTATAAAAATGGTTGTATTTAATAGGGTGACACGTGCAGTGAAAATTTTCCCTACAGAAAGTTGGACTCACACGACGAATGTGCACGCTTCAGTGGCTTGTCTCGAAGTGATTTCTGGCTAACCACGCAGTATGATAATAATCAGCGCTAGAGTCTATGAGACTATAAATAGCCATCGCACGTGCAATTCTCTACACATCTATCAACTATCACAGCCGTAAAAAAATCTATTTTTGACGATTCTGAATAGCAGTAATATTTAGCTTTTTGGTTGTTACTGCAGCTTTAGAAATTACGCTCTTTTTATTTTTTAAATTGCTTTATCATTAACTGTACCGTTATGAGTGGCATCTTTTGGTTTAGTACAAACAATATCTCTGAAACACTCGGGTTAGGCAAGAACATGATACTAGCAGTAGCTTCATTTTACTTTTACAAGGTTTTGAAAACAATTGAGTTGCCTAACGTGCGTGTTTCTAAATCAATTTCTTGTTCCAGCTTTCTGTTATGTTTCGTAAGTAGTCTTGATTATCCCGGCCTGTCAACCAAACGTAGAATGGTCGGTAAACTGGTTAATTTCAAAACAAGGGCACGAAACCTATTTTTTACTCACAAGTGCCCGGATGTTATGGCCGACTCTCGTAACCATCTTTCAGTGTATTGTTTATGGATGGTTAAATGGTCATAGCTTATTAAGTACAACATGACCGTTGATTTAGTGACTATAAATGTGCGAAACCGATTTAAAGCTTGGTATATATATAAATATTGTGGTCTAATTGTCGAGATATTTGGAGATATTTATTTATGGCAGGTCACCCTACAGATGTGTAGACCTGACTATCCAGGCACTTGGGTGTGGCGTGGAAAATATCATTTTCTGAGAAATACGGAGCTTCCGATATTCATACAGGACTAGATAACAATATGGACTGTGTTATGATCGTGTCCCATTGTATGTTTGCTGGATTATATATATGTTGTTCGGACGATTAATTAAACATTTATGATTATCTTTAACTCATCACTCTGTATAAGAACAACCATGTTAAACATCGCGCCATTCCCGAGTCTATTTACAGATGTTATCTTGATCAAAATTTACCTGGATTAATGGTATTTTCGAAAGAAAAAACTATGTCGTAAGTTTGAGCATTTATGCTTTTACTTACAGATTGATGTCGCTAATACTATAAACTAGCAAACACATTATGGACTCTTTTGAACGAGTATTGCTCTGTGGGTTGTTGAGTGGTCTATAACGTGTGTCTTCCAGGTCTGTCATCAATGCACTTTCTGTGGTTTTGATCCCCTGCGTGTCGAGGAGTAGTCGCCTGCCAAACCTCGTACTTTTGCTATCGCCTCTCTTGTTTCTGTGGCGTTTTGGGTAAGGCGGTGACTCGCTAACCTGTAGGTCGTGTGTTCTATTCCAGTGTTGGTCGCGAAAGTTCCTAGGCATTCTCGGCGTTGTTTCTCCATATCAGTGGTGCAGGTAGGAGGGCCTGGCAAGGAACAGCGCCCAGTCATTCGGATGAGACCGAAAATCGAGGTCTCGTGTACCCATGTCGTGCACGTAAAAAGAAAATATGCCCGTCTTAATTATCACGGTTGGAGCAGAAAAGTATGAAGTTAAATCCCCTTTAATTTATAAAGACCTATCATGCAAGCAATGGGTGTTTTCACTAGAAATTATGCAATTGTCTTTGTGCGAGTTCAAACTTCTGCTGAGTGGACTTAAACCCCATTTTCACCCTTATTTGCCATACTTTATTTTAGCAGCAACAACAACAACAGCAGCAGCAGCAACAGTCGTCACAACAGAGTACAAGTAACGTTGTTGTTGTCAATTCTGGTCAGCCACAACCCACGAACACTATTATCGTCAATAGGTAGGTTTTAGGAATAACTGCCCCGATACAACGATGCAGTAATGGATCGGGCAGAATATCACATTTTTAGAAAATTCAAACAATGTACAACCATTACGCTGCTTTGTCAACATTCTACTTATCCATAACTTTATCCGTGTTTATGAAATCATTTAAATTTTGGATATGATATGTATAGTGCAACATATCTTTCCTTGTCGTTCACGCTATGCAATAGTTTTGCGTGCTACTGACAAATAAAAGCTCTTGTCAGTGATTAGTAGGACCGAAATATTTTTAGCCAAATGCTAAAATGCAATCTTTATAACCCATTTTATTCAAGGATCAATGTGGGTTGAAGAAATTAGCTTAAGTGAAGGTAAGATTGATACAAGTAACCATTGGTATTTTCTCGGACGATAGAAACATTCTTCATTGATTTATTCGGGTGTTTCTCTTCCCATTCAATTTCGCACAAAGACCCATTTCATTATGCAGTAGTTCGGTGGAGGACCCAATGATAATCTTTCAAGCCCCAAAGCTTGCTAGAATCTAGTTTGGAATTAACATCTGTCAAAAGATGATGACCATCCTGGCGCTGAAGTGACACGGCTTTGCCTTTCATCCAGAGCGACTTTTAACAACTATATGATACGTTAATCATAGAGGCTTTATTATGGCTAGAGACTAATTATCCATAAAAAAAACTTGCATAAAAGCTTTGCGTATTCAACCGGATTCAAACTGTACTGCAATCATGCAATCAATGTTGTCCTATGAATTATAACTCAGATTGAGAAAAACCCACGGAACTGATATTAGTCCCGGTATACCCTCTTGGCTGGGGTAACTAGGACATTGTGTCTAGTTGTTTGGGTGACACAAATTTAATATTGATATGCAAATTCATAGGACATACTATGATCTCTAATAGTTTAAATTTGACGAACAGTCGGCGGGTAAATGTTTCTTCCATGCATGGCACACGTAACCATAGAAAAGACATTAGTGTTGGTAAATGATACAGTTTTCGGGTGGTCATTTAATTAACACAAATGAATTCAAATTTCAATCGATATTAGCCTTGTTTAATCAACAATATGAAAAATGCTTAATCTGGTTAATCATTAACGGAATGTTCTAAAAAAAACCCATAACGCATATAACACGCGAGTCGAAAGGAGTGAAGGGTTAGTTGTGGAGACGTTAAACCCCATTTCATATGAAAAGGGGTCTTCTAATTTCAACTGTTTTTTTTTTTTGTATTATATAGGAGAGGTGTAAATCATTGTCTACATTGTTGTATAACTTTATTCTTCTTCCCATGGGTCATAGTGTGGATAGTATTGGTAAATATAGCTTTTATCTTCTATTATATAGGAGAATCACAACCGTTGCCATGCTGTCCGTCGGTCAACAATTGTCTTGTGAATGCGACAGAGGCTACAATTTTTGACGGTTTCTTTTCAGATTGGTGTGAAACATTATGGCCATGAACCCTGTCGATTTTAATCCTCCCGCGACCTTTCGTTCTAGAGCTATGCCCCCTTTACAGGAAACTTTGTGAACGCGATATAGGCTGTAGTTTGTAACGGATAATTTTCAAATTTGGTGGGAAACACTGGTGTCATGAGAGGGTGAACTCTGTCGATTTTCAGTTTTCCTCAAATTTCCATTACAGAGTTATACCCCTTTGCTGAAAACCTTGTGGGCGGAATAGAAGATACAGTATGTAACGGATACATGAGAGGACGAACCATATCGATATTCAATATTCTGCGATCATTCGTACCAGAGTTATGCCCCGTTTGTCGAAAACCTTGTGAACGCAATACAGGCTGATCAGACAATACAAGCAATACCTGCAGATTTCGCCCAAGGTCACGAGATGCAAACGGGGCTAGGGCACGTGATTCTTTCCGAGGATTGTGGGTAAGGGTTAGGTCTTGGGTTAGGAGGCTATACCTTTTAACGGATTCTCTTCAAATTTGATGAGAAGCATTGGGACATGGGAGGGCGAACTATATAAATATTCATCGTTCTATATTTCATTCCAGAGCTAACACCCCTTATTGCCCCCCACCCCCCTTCGCTTTTTTGCCAAAACAAAACTAGTTTGTAATGGATTGTTTTCGAATTTGATATGAAGCATTGTAGCCATTAAAGGACTAACCCTATGGAGATTCAGCATTCTATCAATATTCAGTGTTCCGTGACATTCCGTTCTGCAGGTCGCGACCTTTGGTCGTACTTTTGTGGTGCAAAACAGCAAGTCCAAATTTGTTCGCAGAACGGGCTTGATATTGGAGAAAAATAAAAAAGAATGGGGATAGCATGCCTTCAGAACCGGTTTCATGCGTATTATTTGTCCCTAAATATGATACATCGCTTATATAAATATGAACGTAGTTGAGGTCTAATATAAAGTACTCGCCTCTTTATTTTCGCTTCAAATGTTATATACTAAACAGCAAAAAAAAAAAAAAAAATTCAGTACGATTTCAAAATCAGAAAGGCACTTTAATCAAATCATTCTAGAAAACGACTTACTAAATGGATCAAAGGAATTTTTTGTGAACAGTATGTTTACACATTAGTGATTAATTCATCACAATTCCAAACATTACGAGAAGGTTTAGAAGCTGTACACAATCTATACATCAGTATCTGGTGTTTCCACCGCAAATGTCAATAACAGCAGCGCAGCGTCTGTACATGGTGTGGACCAGACGATTGATGAACGCCATTGGCACCTGGAACCACGCTCACAGAAAAGCCTGTCGCCGCAATCCATCGGCTGGTCTCCGTACGACGTTATTAAGTCTTCTCTGAATTTCATCCCAAAGATGTTCAATCGGGTTTAAAGGACAATATTGGTGCCAGTCATTATCACATATTATGTGAAATAATTGGTTAAACACGTCCAAATATTATTTTATCACAGAGATCATTGCTACAATAGATGCGTAATCAATGCTTGAACAATCGGAAGTGACGAACGCAAAAGGAAAATACAAGTTATCCCTCTATATAACTGACTGAAGTGACGAGTGATAACGGATACATGGGCGAATTTGTGCTCACTAATAATTCTTTCGAAGACCAAAAGTTGTTATAGGACTAAGAATATATATGACAATTCAAAAAAGTAATTGAATGTTATTAGAAAAGAGAACACGAGAAAAATAAAAACAGTCCGTACACTCGCGTGTGTTTATTCATTCTATACTTATAATAAAACCATGGTAAGAACATGGTGTTCTCTTCTCTAGTGACAGTCAATTTTTTTATGAATTGTCAGATATCCTTTCACAGTCTCGCACAACAACTTTTGGTCTTCGAAGGAATTATTAGTGAGCAGAAATTCGCCCATGTATCTGTTATCACTCGTCACTTCAGTCAGTTATAAGAAGAGTGGGTCAGATTGCCCCAAATCGTGATTGGACGGTTGATAGGGGCATGCCACGACGAATTGCTGAATGTCTGAGGATTGGTGGAGCAATTACTCATTAAGACAAAAATCAAAAACGTACATTTTCACATTTGACGGTGTGGTGTGTCCCTTTGCGAGTGAAATGGGGCCGTCAGATAAGCCGCCCATATGAACTGTTTATGTTCATGTGTAGGCAATTGGCCTGTTATTAACATACACTGGTTACCTCTAATAAAACAGCAGTGCATTTCCGCAGTTTCTGAATATCCCCTACCTTTTTTGAAGAGTATATAATCAACGAAAAAGACATTTTAGCAGAGCATTTAATATTGGCAGCGTTACCCCTCCATAATATTCTGGTCCTGCCATCTGCAGTTGATACGCAATACCGACTCTCATCTGTGAACAGAACAGTTCTCCATTGCCTGTGTCGCCAGTTCTGGTGTTGTTGGTCAAACTCTAGACGTTCACGTCGATGGCGAGGGATAAGGATCGGTCCTCGGTAAGTGTCAGCGGCAATGGATATTCTCTCTGGTGAGACGTCGGCGCACTGTATCGGTACTGATGGGTCTTCCGTGTGTTCCCACTGTCTGACGTGCTGTCTCAGATGCCTGTGTGAAGGAATTCCGCAGGTGCTGTCGCACAACATGGCGGTCTTGTCGCCTTGTGGTAACCCTTGGTATACCAGTTCGGGGGCGATCATCCGAGGTGTTGGTTGCCTGAAAGCGTTGCTGAAGCCTGTAGATGGTCCGAACATTGACCTGGAAGTGATTGGCAACGGCTTGGGCAGTGTGACCAGCGTCGAGTCTTCCAAGCGCCTGGTTCCTCTGAGCTGTCGTGAGTCGTGGCATACTACTGATGTTGTAGTGTGAATGATTCAACCAGGTAAGGGGGTGCATTTTATAGGGCTGGTCTCGGTGAACAGCATGAGTTACATGAAAACCATGGAGAGCACATTACCATCTCAGAAGTCAGGTTGTGTATTTGAGAACATTTCCTGGGTTCAACTCGGTGTTTGGGAAGGAGCCTTGTTGCTTAGGTAAAGTTAGAGATGTGGTCACAAATATACAATAAAAACATTTGGCAAGTATCATACAATGCGTCTATTTAGAGTAACATATCAACCTGACGTTTCTTTTGCTGCTTAGTATATAAACTATTATTTAGCCATTTATTAACATGACAAGCCCCTAATCAACTTTCTAGAACATCGGATGGCAGAGATATAATTGGATTAGAACACTCGCTAGATTTAAAAATAAATTTAACGATAAATTGGATAATCGAGACTAAATCTTGTTTGTCCAGTACCGTTGCTGCAATAATAAGCAATCTAAGCTACATCGTCAAACGGCCATAACATCACTCAGAATAAATAATTTGAATAAAATTTTCAATATATTAATTTTTTTCTTTATTTTTGAACTAGTATAGCAACAACGATCAGCGCTTATCTAACACTTACATTATGCTTCTTCAATGATGTTTTAGAAAGAAACTTTAGTTTACAAGTGCCTTTGGCTCATAAGGAGGGTTGGATGGCCGAATGGTTAGCACGTGCGCGCTGTATCACAAGGCCTGCCATTGAGTCAACTGGCGTGGTTTCGAATCCCCGGTTGTACGTGACAAGGAGTAGGGTCGCCTGTCAAACCTCGTGGGTGTTCTCCGGGTCCTTCGGCTTCCTCCCACTGCTAAAGCCCCCTACACGCAAGCGAATTATTGAAATAAAATTAAACCATGTTTTTCCCGAAATGACCTAGTTTGTGTCGAGTGGACGTTAAATTCCATTTCTCTCTCTCATTGGCTCATACTTGTTGATGTTTCAAAGCCATTTAAAACTTTCATTAATGGATTGTGGTTTAGTGATTCAAAATAAATCCAGTTAATAGTAAATTGGAATATAGTTGTTTACACAAGATTTAATAATAAAAAAAAAGGTCAGTTCTCTCATAGAAAAAAAAAACACAATTGTAGATAAAGTACAATTTAAAGGGAAATAACTAAGATGAAAAACTAAGGCAGTTTCACATTATGCTCGTACATATACCATAGTCAAATTTTACCTATAGTAATAACCATATAGTTGCTATTTAAATTATGTCTTGCTAGAATTTAGATATTTAGTAATAACCATGTAGTTGCTATCTAAATTATGTCTTGCTAGAATTTAAATATTTAAGATACTTAACAATTTTTGTTTAATCTTTTTCAGTGTATAACCGACAGAGACTAGCAAATGTTTAACAACTGTTTAGTTCGAAGTGCTATGAAGAAATCATATTTAAGCTCTGGAATTCTCAATGTGTCCAAATTAGTCTAAAAAATGTGTGCACGATATATTTACCAGGAGATATTTATTACTTATATCGCAAGTGCTAACTGATGGACTTTATTTAGAAGAGAAATTTTGCTAAAAATATTAGAGCAACTGCGATCATAGTGGTCTCCAAAAGTTTGTAAGGAACAAAATATTCGAAGTTGAAATTGAAACAAATTTTAAACAATATATATATATATATATATTGTGTGGTTAATAGCAATTCTGAGGTAGCTGGCTCAGAAATTATGTCCATATTTTCGTGTTGACATTGAAGCATTGTTTAAAGGGCTAATCCCGATAAAATTTTTGAGAATAAAACTGCTTAATTGTATGTTAAATTTCCTTAAAGTCCTCTACCTAAGGCCCGAGCAACTAACTTAATAGTTGTGATACGATTTCAAACAACATAAACCTGTCAGTCTTCACCTGGAAATGGAGACCGGCGTGTCCCAAGCTGTATTATGCGGTGTCTGGATAAAAACAGATTTTTATTTCATAAAAATAATGTGTAGGTGAAATTTACCTTTCATTACAGCACATGGGTAATTCTCTGTATAGATCTCTCAAGGAACGGGAATCGATTATCAGGTCACCTAACGAAAAAATTGACCCGAAATCTTAAAAGGGTTACGTGTCCGGATAAGCAGTTTTTACGTTCACATCCAAACGACTCAATATTTTGAGCTGAAATTTTAAGACAAGGTAAATACAACATTCCTCTATATTTTGGCGCTTAAATTTCATACGTACTCGGACTTTCATTTTTGAGGTTCTGTTCAAATCAAATTCCTCTATATTTTGGCGCTTAAATTTCATACGTACTCGGACTTTTATTTTTGAGGTTCTGTTCAAATCGGGATAGTCCCTTTAAACAATATAAATGACCTATATTAATATTGTAACTTTTCCAAGGGTTTAATGAAATGTATCTACAATCTCTATTACATCTGTGTATATATGTAGATAAATATCATAGTAAATCTTAAGTATGTTAAATTATTATACATACTTCTATTTAATACCTCCTGTACATTTTCCAACCATGTCATTAAAATTCTTAACACGAACTTCAACGGTGTTGTTTTTTGAATAAGTTTACAGCAGGACTATCTTTTTGGTCATGGGGATCACGTGGCTAAGTGGGTAAGACGCTAGCTCGCTAGCCTGGAGGTCGGGTGTTCGATCCCTGCATTGGCCGAGAAAGTTCATCCAGATTTTCCGGCGTGGTTCTCCCTTGTCAGTGATGCAGGACGGAGGGGCTGACAAGGAAAGCTGTCTAGTCGTTCGGATGGGACGAAAAACCGAGGTCCCGTGTACACATTGGCGTGCACGTAAAAGATCCCTTGGCAGTTGGAATTCGATATAAGAGTAGGCCGTAGTGCCGCTGTCCGGGCAAAATTTCCCTCATAACACACTGTATGGCGTATGCCCGTCTTCATTAGCCCAGGTTAGGAGCAGAACAGTAGGACGTTAAACTCCATTTCATTTCATTTTTGGTCATACTTACTGGTCTAGATGTAATGCTTTTAGAATTGACCATACCACTAAAAATAGTCTGCAGTTCATAGTTTGGGGGATTTTTTTTAAAAAATATATATAAGGACCTCACATTTTAAAATAGAAATTAATAACGACAGTTAAAGTCCATAAATGATTCCTTTTGGCCAAGATAATCTGGAGTAAACAATCGTAAATATAAAATGGAACAAAATTTTTGTGTAATTTTATTTTGACAACATTTATTTGTATACTGTTTAAATGCCAGCAAATAGAATTGTCTTCCGTAGAAAAAAAAAACAAACATAAAATATACTATCTATACGCCAGCACATAGAAAGATCTACAGTACAAATTCAATATATAAGTAGATAACATTTAACAACATAACTAATACAATATAATAACCAAGATAAAATGATAAAAATCTTGGAGCAATATATAAGGCAATTAATGAAAGGTAAGTGGATCCCAAACATAATACATTAACTTCTTTAAGTGGCATTGAACAGTAACACACTAAACACTATTTATGGAATAACAATTACTGGTTTATTAACAAGCAACATTTCGACGATGATACTCTCGTCATTTGCTTGATAAAGACGAGGGTATCATTGTCGAAACGTTGGGTGTTAATATACCAGTAATTGTTATTCCATAAATAGTGTTAGTGTAATAATATACTAATGTCCAAGAGAAAGTATACACTGCATTTTGTGCTGCACCAACCAAAGTCGTTTTTCCATGGTATACGTTAATTGGGTAGAATGTCAATTTGTTTCACATTTTTATTTTGCTTAGAAATGTTGAGTTTGGACGCAAGAGAAAAACTCAGTAATGCTTTATCAAATGTTTTTAATCCAAACAAAAATTAGTCATACTTTTAGTGTGTATAGTTACTTTCTTTTGGACATCAGTATTTATCACCCAATAATACATTCTACAGTCCATATCGCTTGTGTGATATATTTCATAATCTACTGCAATATCTCCTTAGGAGATATCGCTTCACATGAATTTGATTGGTCAGTTGAAAAGGAACTACTTTTTTATTTTCAAAGAACAGTTCATTTTTTATTAAAAGTAACTTTTGATTTTTTATTAAAAATGGACTATCTTTATTTAATTGACCTTGATGAAAACACTGGGTCAATATAAATAATTTGGAATGGTTGAATTGCTGTCAAACAAATTATGTATCACTACCCCGTAATGTAATCAGATTCAGTAAAATTGAAATCTATAGCAAAGAATTATATTTATTTATTTGTGCAGGTAAGAAAGGATTGGGTGATAAATAAAATCTCCTAATCATCTTTTTTGATATCGAAAAAAATCAACACTCCTCGATAAAGTAAAAAAAAAAAAAAAAAATCGGCAGAGCCTCGTTTTATTTACTTTATCGACTAGCGTTGATATTTTTTGATATCAAAAAAGATGATAAGGAGATTTTATTTATCACCCAAAATAAAATATGAAAATATTCATCTAAGATAAAGTTGCATTATCACTTTCACAAACATAATAGGTAAATACATTCTTAGAACAACCCACTGTTCAAAAGCAGTTTCCCTCTCCTTACAAGTATGCAACACTAGTTAATCTGCACTTAAAATGTGGAAAAAATTAATTGGCGTCATTGATTGACATAAAATGAGAAAATAGCGATTTTTCATTATGGTGCAATACATATCTATTGTAATTGTAAGAGGACTGTAAATCAGTTATGGATAATGATAATTTTCAAAAGCAATTAAACTAATGGAAGTTTGTTTAGCATTACAGCAAAATAATGAAATGAAATGAAATGAAATGAAATGAAATGGAGTTTAACGTCCTACTGTTCTGCTTCTAACCTGGGCTAATGAAGACGGGCATACGCAATACAGTGTGCTATGAGGGAAATTTTGCCCAGACAGCGGCACTACGGCCTACTCTTACAGATCGAATTCCAACTGCCAAGGGATCCTTTACGTGCACGCCAATGTGTACACGGGACCTCAGTTTTTCGTCCCATCCGAACGACTAGACAGCTTTCCTTGTCAGCCCCTCCGTCCTGCATCACTGACAAGGGAGAACCACGCCGGAAAATCTGGATGAACTTTCTCGGCCAATGCAGGGATCGAACACCCGACCTCCAGGCTAGCGAGCTAGGAAAAATAATGACTTGTTTGCAAAGTAAATAAATTAATGAATATATTAATGAATTCCAATATAACATGCCAGCATGGAACAAGTATAAACATCATAACAAATTTTAAATGGTTCAATATTAGTTTAAGTATAAATATTTTACCAAAAAAAGGTTATTTGAAAATTATGGAAAAGGGTTATTTGAAAATTTTGAAATTCACCTATTTGTTCATTTCTTATATAAAATATATGAGTACATGAGAGATAATAATTCAAAATTACATTTAGTGGAGGTAAAAATATATTCAGGTTATGTACTATTTTAGGACAAAAATTAAGATAACTGTACTAAAATTCACCCTTCATCATACCAAATTTCTAGTCCAGAATGACAATGCCTTGTAATTATTGTATTAATAGGTAAGATAAATACTAAGGCGGGTTGATATTGGAAATGTGAACTTGGACTAGTTTAGATACAATACTACAAGTATAAGATTAATTTTAACCAAACTCATGAATGTGACAAATTCAGGAAGCATTGCTGAATGGTACCAAGCTGGATGTACCTGAACTACCTTCACACTCTCAGAGTATTTAACACGCTTTGAAGCCGACGTCTGAGACTTCCCATACTCTATACGGATGTGAATCAAGGCACAGACATATTGTGACTAAAGTCCCATGTCCCAAAATGAGACCTTTTTTGCTTCTAAAGGTCATTACAGTGAAACCTATGGTGATCTGAGCTTGATCTTTGACTCTCTACATGTGTTTTGATGCTAAAACTCAGGATTTTAAAAGATACTACAATATGATTTTTTTCACAAAAAGTGGTGAAAAAAGCAGTTTTTTGTGAAATTTATTACTATGTTACAAAATAGAGATGTGATATTTTTGTCTTGTGAATATAATACCAATATCTCGACTAGTCCAAATGTCGTATTTTAAAAAAAATTGGGAAAATCAACCTGCCTTAATAAATACTGGATAATATGGACAACACAATGATTCAAAATTACAATCAGTAATAAAAATATCTTAATTACTGTGCATCAGTGTCCAACTTAGCGTTTATAAACATGGTCTCCGGATCCAGAATCAATGGTATCTGATAAAGATGTCTGATGAAGATGTAACACAACAGATTTATCAGCTGATACAACCTTTGTGATACTACCAGGAGTATTCTGTTCATTTAACAAATATTGTGTCAAATCTACACCTAGTACAGCTAATTGACATAGATGGTCACATGTCTTCTGGTTTTCAATCTCTTTTTTCTGTAAAAAAATAATATAATTCATACATCCATTTCTTTAATATATCAAAATGTTATAAACAATTTAGGTACCAATGGTGCATGATTACTAACTATTAACCAGCGGCTGCCAGGCAGGATACGCCCACATTTTCGAGAGATGGATAGAGAACAAGCTAAAAAGAAAGTGATTTTTTGTACAATCAGGGGCCATAATTCAGGAAGTTTCTCTCCAATATGCGCGAATATCGACAGGAACCGAGATCTTTGGGTTATAAACTTACATTTCAAGTTTCATCAAAATCGGATAAAAATTGTTACCTCTATAGGGTCCACAACCTTGATATACCATATTTTTACGCTATTTGAGAACGAGGGGCGGCCATTTTGTCTGTCAGTTTTGGGCCGATTTTCATGAAATTCAAACTCAGCCGTCCTTAGGGTGTAACGGTGATATAATAATATGTTTTTTTAAATCGGATAAAAATTATGACCTCTATAGGGTCCACAAGCTAAAAACGCGATTTTTCGTACAATCAGGGGCCATAATTCAGGAAGTTACGGTCTGATATGCGCGAATATCGAAAGGAACCGAGATCTTTGGGTTATAATCATACATTTCAATTTTAAACTAAATCGGATACAAATTGTGACCTCTACAGTGTTCACAAGCTAAAAACGTGATTTTTCGTACAATCAGGGGCCATAATCCATGAAGTTACAGTCCGATACATGGGTTATAAACTTACATTTCAAGTTTCAACAAAATTGGATAAAAATTGTGACCTCTATAGGGTTCACAACCTTGATATACCATATTTTTACGCTATTTGAGAACGAACGGCGGCCATTTTGTCTGTCAGTTTTGGGCTGATTTTCACGAAATTTGAACTCAGCCGTCCTTAGGGTTTAACGGTGATACAATAATACGTTTTTTAAATCGAATAAAAATTATGACCTCTATAGGGTCCACAAGCTAAAAACGTGATTTTTCGTACAATCTGGGGCCATAATTCAGGAAGTTACGTTCGGATATGCACGAATATCGAAAAGAACTGAGATCTTTGGGTTATAATCATACATTTCAATTTTAAACTAAATCGGATAAAAATTGTGACCTCTACAGTGTTCACAAGCTAAAAACGTGATTTTTCGTACAATCAGGGGCCATAATCCATGAAGTTACAGTCCGATACATGCCAATATCGACAGGACCCGAGATCTTATGGTAATAAACCTATATTTCAAGTTTCATTGAAATCGGATAAAAATTGTGACCTGTAGACTGTTCACAAACAATTCTGGACGGACGGAGGGACGGACAGGGGTGACGACATTACAAGTTATATTTATTTTGCTTTCACGTGATATATAAAAAAAAGTGTAATTGGAAGCATAAAAAATATCACAAAACTATGGTGTTTTTTCATACTCAATGTAAATTGTCTGTCAAACTTTAAATAACTGATATATTAGCTTGAATCCAGTACCATTTTGTTTTTAATTGATGATTAATTTTCTCTTCAACATACATTATGCAAGAGCTCAATCTGCTTATTGCAGGTCTTTCTTTAGGCCTGGAATGTTATCTAAATTATTAATTAGACATTAATTAAATTATCCAGACCATAATCAACTCTCGATGCCATCGCTAACCTGCGATATTTACTGGATTTGAATACATTTTGAGATGGATGATTTAACGTCAAAATGGATAATCGAGACTTTGTTTTTTTATCCTACCGACTTTATAAATGATTGAGACTATACCTAAAATTCAATCTGTAATATCTCGGTTCAGAGTGGAGCAATTTGACTGAAATATTTAGCATATTCTCTTTACGTCATCTATTTTTGAACTATTATAGCGAGAACTGCCAGCTCTTTATCTAATCTCCCACAATGCCGCTTTAATCAATCTAATTATAATTAGCAGTAGATAATATATGCTTCAGGAAAGCATGTACTAGGCCTCTGTCTACGGAACAATAGTAGTGTTGACCTGGATTAAACAGCCAGTCAGTTGTCTGGATAATAAATACCATTCAAATGACTGCAGAATTTTCTGTTTTGATTGGTAGATTGATCTGGAGTCAGCCAATCACAACTCGAATGTTACTGAACAAGCCATATAAAGAAATCTACTTAGACTAAGATGAAGTACCGGTAAAATAAAATGGACCAAAATGTTGGTATGATATTAATAAAACTGTAACCTAATAAAATCAAGTCTACATACGTATAACTCTGCTGCCCAATCTTTTTTCAATTTCTGTAGTTTGTCATCATGAATGCGTTTTTCCATCTCTAAAGTGTGAGCATTTTGAGTTCTAAAACACAGTTAAATAAAGAACATATTAAACATTATTCATATATTAAATATTCTGGTATCCTAGTTTGAAACGACCTGGATTCAGAATTGTTTCCATACCATAAGTAGGGTGACCCACCATAAATAAATATCTCCATATATCTCGACAATTATGCCACAATATTTATATATATGCCAAGCCTCAAATCAGTTTCACACAATTATAGTCACTAAATAAACGATCATGTTGTACTTAATAAGCTATGACCATTAATCATGTATAAATAATAGACTGAAAACTGGTTCCAAGAGTCGTCCATAACATCCAGACACTTTTGAGTAAAAGATAGGTTACGTGCCCTTGTTTTGAAATTAGTCTCGCTTAACCAGTCTATCGACCATTCTACGTCTGATTGACAGGTCGGGATAATCAAGACTACATTTTTACGAAACGTAACAGAAAGCTAGAACAAGAAATTGAATTTAGAAATAAGCACGTTAGGTAGCTCAACAATCGTTTAAGAAGCTTGTAAAAGTAAAATGAAACTACTGCTAGTATCATGTTCCTGCCTAACCCGAGTGATTCAGAGATATTATTTGTACTAAACCAAAAGATGCCGCTCTTAATGGTACAGTTAATGATAAAGCGATTTAAAAAATGAAACGAACATAATTTCTAAATCTCTGTAATAACCAAGAATCTTAATTTAACTGCTATTCAAAATCGTCAACAATAAATTTTTTACGGCTGTAATAGTTGATAGATTTGTAGAGAATTGCACGTGCCATGGCTATTTATAGTATCATACTGTCAGAAAGTTGGTCTCGGCACGGCGAATGTGCACGCTTCAGTGGTAGTCTCGAACTATCAGCGGTGGACTGTATTTCTGTGAGTACATGGGTCACCCTACCATAAGTATCCAATTATGAGTCATTTGCTAGACAAAACTGTTATTGTCACAACTAGAATTGCCCCCTGGTAGGAATCCAAAAAAAGACTGAGTAGAACTTGTTATTTTGAAGCCTTTTCTCTCAACTCATCAGAGAAATGTCTTGGGTTAGTATGTTTGCTCATTCAGATGGGGTGGTGGATGGCTGAATGGTTAGCGTGCGCGCGCTGTATCATAAAGTCTGTCATTGAGTCAATTGGCGTGGTTTCGAATCCCCGGTTGTACTCGGCAAGGAGTAGGGTCGCCTGTCCAACCTCGTGCTTTTTCTCCGGGTCCTCCGGTTTCCTCCCACTGCTAAAGACCCCTATGTGCAAGCGAATTATTGAAATAAAATTAAACCATGTTAGTCCTGAAATGACCTAGTTTGTGTTGAGTGGGTGTTAAACCCCATTTCTCTCTCTCTCATTCAGATGGGACATTAACATGAATAATAGTTTCCTTGTCCCCACAACACCACTGTCTGGTCAATCTGTCTCTTTTGCATTACACATAGCATATTGGTCCAAAAATGTCCTGTATAAAGTTTTCCAATAAACATAAAAGTTTGTTTACAATTTATAGAGGTACCAACCCATCAAAAAAACATCAAGTACACTATCAGTATACTATATCGGTAGGGTACTTACACCTCCATTTCTTGTTGATGTTTTAATTCTTCTAACTCCATTCTTTGTTCTACAAATACAGATTTTATTAATACATACTTTGTTAGAAATCTGATGTTTTAAACAGATATAATAATACAATAATGTTGTTCTTATTCTATACAAATTTAAAATAACTATAAATAATGTAACTTTAGTATTTCTATTACTTCTACTGTGTAACTTTTATCTTTCTACTCTTTTCTATTATTGGGAAACCTCAGACATCTTTCTACTATCTCTATCTGGAAACTTAATTATGACAGAAATTACGGTACTTTCTATTATCTTCCATGTCTATTAGGAAATGACAGTAGCACAGCCATTTTCCTATTGGGAAACTTATGACATAAAATGATAATATTCCCATCTTTCTGTTCGGAAATTTATATGAAAGGATAGTACCCTTATTCTATTCAGAAACTTGACATGAAATAGTAGTACAGCCATCTTTCTATTGGGAAAGTTATCTTCTGGAAAAATATAATAATTGATAATCTTATGTCTGACCTTGCTTCATTCTTTCCATCTCATTCTTTAAGTTTAAATCTACCATTTCTTGTTGCTGTCCCTCTTTCTCAAACTAGATATAACACAAAGTAATGATATATTACATTTGTCAATAGAAGAGATACAATATTAATTGTCAATATATAGAAGAGATATATAACATTTTGTCAATAGGAAGAGATACAACATTTGTCAATAGGAAGAGGAATAACATTTGTCAATAGGAAGAGGAATAACATTTGTCAATAGGAAGAGAAATAACATTTGTCAATATATAGAAGAGATATTACATTTGTCAATAGGAAGAGATATAACATTTGTCAATAGGAAAAGACATAACCTTTATCAATAGGAAGAGATATAACATTTGTCAATTGGGAAGAAATATAACATTTATTTTGTCAGTAATAGGAAGAAATATAACATTTGTCAACACCTTTTTTATAGACACATACATTTCTCTGCAGTTCTATGCAAACCAGTTTGAGAATTGTATGACCATAAACTAAATATAGGTACAACTTTGGATTGTGTGATGTTTAGTGCTTAAATGTATGCAATATATTAACTAAAATCACAGTACAAGTTTTGTGTATGGTACTCCCGATATTAAAAACTGTCTAAAGTTATTCATTATTAAAATTTTGCTCAAAATCAAAAATAGTTATACAGTAAGATCACCCACTACACTCGGCTTATTTCACAGGACAATTATTTGACTTCCAGGGATTTTTTGAATAGAAACTAGGGCAAGTTTACCAACTTAATTTTTATTCCTTTGAATGGATATTTTTTATTTCTGAAAACCGATATAACCCTATCAAGTGCTGACCATGTGGAATAATGTACAAAATATTATGATTGTAGTATAACAATTGTTACTGGCAGTCAAGATTTGGGATGTTTTAGTGTTTTTTGTCCCACAACAATGTAAAGCTGAATTTACCTCTATTTTTAGATTCGTTCTTCTTTCAATGGCCCAATCATGCATTGTTTGTAATCTGTCATGTGTAAAATATCCACGGAATACAACCTTAGTAACAGAGTAGCCAATAGCTTTACACCTTTCTAATAACTGTGGATAGCTATTCAATTCATTCAAGGCATCAGATTGGTTAATAAAGGACATGTATCTAGAGAAAAAAAAAAACAAGTGAGAAAAATTGAAATGTAGTAAAACAAAACATGTGAATAGGTTTATCAATAGAAAGATTGGATAAGTTTCCGGGCAGTCAACATAAACAAGGGTTGTCGCATATTTTTTTCGTTTCTTGGTAATGAAAACATTTAGAGCAGACTAGAAATTGATTAAGAGTAACATACCATTAAGAAATTATCAGAATTTGTTTGGCTTCTAGTTCTGCCACATGCTAATGTTTAGTATACAAAACATTTAAAAATCATGAATTTAGCTGTTCAAGTTATCGGAAGTGAATAGACTACGTTGTCTCATGACCGTTAACACACTGTGTATAAATATAACTTTAGCCCATAGAGTGTGAACAAGAATGAACTCTGGCAGTAATTATCAGAAATTGTTGAAAATCCATAGACTACTTCATCTCATGACATTAAACACTGTGTATAAATCTAAAGTCAACCAGAAATTAAATTGGCCACTAAAGCGTCCACAAGCAATGGGGACAAATAAAACTTGATTTGTAGCACTGTAAATGACTGTCTTCAATAACAGTCAAATTTACTGTAAAACAAATAAAGCTGTTTATCGACATTGGAGAGGATTTGTAATCCCTTGTAAATTACAATATTGTGAAAACTGAATCTAAAGAACTATCAGTCAAGAGTGTTTCAATTCCATCGAGTATTTGAAAAGATATGATGAATTGAAAATTTCATTCAGCAGACAATATGAACAAGCCAGCACTGCTGAGAGATAAGTGGGTAAAGCTTTTTGATGGGCCTCTTTTTAAAACTAATTTAATGTGTCATGTGGAGACTCATAATTTTTGCATGTTGAAATTAATGCTATCTGTTGTATCTTCTTTCCTAAAATTATTATTACTGGGTGCCTTCTTTTAAGTTCAACAAAGAAATTATATACATGTACAAAATAATTATATACTAAACAGTAAAAAAAAATGTCAGTACGATTTCAAAATCAGAGAGGCACTTTAATCAAATCATTACTAAATGGATCAAAGCAATTTTTTGTGAACAGTATGTTGACACATTAGTGATTAATTCATCACAATTCCAAGACATTACGAGAAGGTTTAGAGTCTGTACACAGTCTATACATCAGTATCTGGTGTGTCCACCGCACGTGTCAATAACAACAGCGCAGCGTCTGTACATGGAGTGAACCAGATGATTGATGAACGCCATTAGTACCTGGAACCACGCTCTCAGAAAAGCCTGGCACAATCCATCGCCTGTGGTTGGTCTCTGTACGATGTTATTAAGTCTCCTCTGAATTTCATCCCAAAGATGTTCAATCGGGTTTAAAGGACAATATTGGTGCCAGTCATTATCACACATTATGTGAAATAATTGGTTAAACACGTTCCAAATATTATTTTATCACAGAGATCATTGCTACAATAGATGCGTAATCAATGCTTGAACAATCGGAAGTGACGAACGCAGAAGGAAAACACAAGTTATTCCTCTATATAACTGCCTGAAGTGACTATAAGGGCTGGTTAGTGCATAACGTTGACAGCGTTCTGCTGTAGAAAGTCCTGAGTAACTTTGGCGGTGTGGGCACGGGCGCTGTCATGCTGGAAAACATTTTTTCGATGACGTGCGAAATGTGGTATGACGTGGGGTCTGAGAGCTCGATCGATGAAGCGCACTGCTGTGATACCGCCTCCTCTGGTTCAGGCCGATTCCACCCCAAACCATTATGCTTGGACCTCCCCATGAGTCTCGTTCCATGACACATTGGTCAGAATAACGTTGGCCACGTTGACGCCATATTCTGGTCCTGCCATCTGCAGTTTATACGCAATACCAACTCTCAACTGTGAACAGAACAGTTCTCCATTGCCTATCTCGCCAGTTCTGGTGTTGTTGGGCAAACTGTAGACGTTAATGTCGAAGGCGAGGGGTAAGGATCAGTCCACGGTAAGGTCTACAGCAATGGATGTTTTCTCTCTGGTGAGACGTTGCAGCACTGTATCGGTACTGATGGGTCTTCAGTGTGTTCCCACTGTCTGACGTGCTGTCTCAGATGCCTGTGTGAAGGGATTCTGCACATGCTGTCGCACAACATGGTGGTCTTGTCGCCTTGTGGTAACCCTTGGTTTACCAGTTCGGGGGTGACCATCCATGGTGTTGGTGGTCCGAAAGCATTGCTGAAGTCTGTAGGTGGTTCGAACATTGACCTGGAAGTGATTGGCAACGGCTTGGGCAGTGTGGCCAGCTTCGAGTCTTCCAAGCACCTGGTACCTCTGCGCTGTCGTCAGTTGTGGCATGCTGCTGATGTTGTAGTATGAATGATTCAACCAGGTATGGGGGTGCATTTTATAGGGCTGGTCCCGGTGAACAGCATGTGCAGCATGAGTTACACGAAAATCATGGAGAACACATTACCATCTCAGAAGTCAGGTTGCGTTTTTGAGAATATTTCCTGGGATCATTTCTGTGTTTGGGAAGGAGCCTTATTGCTCAGGTAAAGTTGGAGATGTGGTCACAAATATACAATAAAAACATTTGGCAAGTATCATACAATGCGTCTATTCAGAGTAACATACCAACCTGACGTTTCTTTTGATGCTTAGTATATTACCGGATATATGTTATCCACAACATTGATTAGCCTATGAAATAGTTTATTGATATGATTATTATTTAGAGGGGTGTTAATGCCAATTTACTTCTGGAACAAGAGACTTGATTTTGTTCTGTTACAGAGTAGACATGTTTATTGAAATTAATGTGAGTGATGTTATTTCACAATTAATGTATTAATTACTTGCTTGTATGAATTTCTTATTTTACAAAATTAAGATGTACTTATATATACTTACGTTCTTTTTGAAGCAAAAGCTACAACATCAGCACTAAGACAACTGAAAATAAAATTATTCTATATTTAGCTGATTGACTAATAAATTATTTGTACCCAAATATGAGATAATTAACAGCATAATTCATATCTAACTCGATCAAAAACGAGCAACATTTTTTTCTATACTGTAGCAAGTATGAAGAAATACGTCAAGCCGATTTATACCAAGCCTTCTCAGCAAATCCTGAGATTTCCTACAATTTTCTTAATCTCTTTAACCACCCAAAATCGATTGCCAAGGCACTGGCTTTATATGTGTTTTTAACTTTTGATAAGAGAGCTAAATCAAATTTGGTGGCATCTACATGTAACTGAAACCCCTTAGATATACATGTAGACTGTTTGTATGAATGTATTGTGTTGTCTATGTAATATGTATTATTAAATGTATATATATGACTATGTCTAAGTGTATATGTATGCATGCTGTCCATAATGGACGTTTTGATGCAATAAACATCTTATCTTATCTATTTCCTGTAAACTAAGGGAGGTTACTCTACAGTGTACATGCCCCTGTTCAGCACATGCATTTAGGATCAATCGGTCAACCCAAAACAAAGGATTAAATTAAATCATTTAACATTTTACACACATCTAGGGTCAAAAATAATCCAAATATGCAGAAAAGCTTTGCTCAGTTTCAGATGTACAGTCTCAATGTATGTTTTCTTTTAAAATCTTGTCAAGGTTTAACAAATACCATTCTTGACTGAAGAATAGAATAATGTATGCTCTATTTTGTTGATGTTGGTTTAATCATCAGAAATTGATCCTCATGGAATCAATCAGCTGATTGTGGCCAGAACATGGGGCATGTAGTTGTACCTTCCAAATAAATCCAAATAAGAAATAACACAATACTGACCGTCTTCTATAGTACATTATATGTACATGTACTGTATATGGCACTATAAGTTCTATCAAAAATATATATTGTATACTATGTATAGCCATATGTTTTAACAAAACCCTAATTAGTAAGTAATAAGAGAAAGATAACACTAGTTATACTAACTTGATAAAATCAGCCATAGGATCTGTTGTTGAATTTAGCTGTAAAAAAATGGTTCCATACAGATGACTGTGTATTGTAACATCAACATGATTTTATTTTTATATCTTTACTAGCAGAATAACCGACATCGCCCGGGGACCAAATTCGCTTGGGGACAAATTCGGCAGGGGCCCAATTCATCTGGGGATTAAATCTTCCCGGTGATCAAATACAATGGCCTAAAACATTCACAGGGTCATGCTGGTTAATTTGATATCACATATGCGGTGGTGGAGTGCGGTGATTCACCAAGGGCCCAAATTTGATTGCCTAAAACATTCACAGGGTCATGTTGGTTAATTTGATACATTGAGGTGGAGTACAGCGATGGAGTGTGATGTGTGAACATACATACACACACATACAAACAGACATCTTTGATTTTCTTTATATAGATAAATTACCGGTGTAAAGTTGGTTTGAAAAATGATCTCTAAATAAATTGAAAATCTGGCTTTAGTTTACCCCATGTATTTTCAGGAATAACAAACAGACAGAAGTAAAATTCAAAATCATAATTACCATCAAGTCAACATCAGTCAACTCATAAAACATCATCAGTTTAATTCTAATCAAGGCATCATCTGATGTTCTTACTTCATCTACCTATAACACATGTATATAAACATATCATCTACCAATAATACATGTATATAAACATTATCACCTATCTATAATACATGTATATCAGCATTATCATCTACATGTACCTGTAATTCATACATATCATTATCACAATCTACCTTCCTATAATACATGTAAATGCATATTATCATCTACAGCTATAACACATAAAAATTGTTTCCACTTACATTATAATAGAATTGGTCTGGTATAATTTTGAGTTTGTTGAATCTGTGAGTACCAGGAATCATTCTGGTCTTACTCTTTGGATCTGTTCCATGCCATACAAACAGATGAAGCCTAAAATTATGAGTATTTTTGGTATAAGTAATAATATTAACTTCCAATCCAAGAACTTTTATTAATACGAAATGGATATAAATACACTTTGAATCATATAATCCACAAGGTTCAAACATTTGAAAAAAGAGAGAGAGAGAGAGAGAGAGAGAGATGTGGTTTAGTGTCTACTTGACATAAAGTAGGTAATTTTGTGAGAGAGAGAGAGAGAGAGATGTGGTTTAGTGTCTACTTGACACAAAGTAGGTAATTTTGTGAGTAACATATGGTTCAGTTTTATTTCAATAATTCGCTTGCACATCGGGGTCTTCAGCTGTGGGAGGAAACTGGAGAGAACCCACAAGGTGATACTACACCTTGTAGAGAATCGAAACCACGACACTTGACTCAATGACAGACTTTGTGATCTAACCATTCCGCCACCTAACTCCCCAGTTTGAAAATAAAAGTAGTTAATATAATTACCATTCATTAGCGGCTGGCATGAATAATGTAGGACCATAAAGAACATAACGATTAGTTTCTTTCTCTGTTTGTTTATAAACCACTAATGCTTCATTAGCATCTAATGATTCACAATTATTAACTTCCACACGGCTATGCTCTATTGGATTTAAGAACATTGCATAGGGTCTGAAAAAATAGTTTTTTTATTAAGTCAAATGTTTGTCTCATTAACAAGTTATCTGTATAATTCTGGGACTAAAACATTAATTAATCATAAGACCCGTCATAGTGAAGTCCAACTCAACCATGGCAAATCAATAGCTATGTATTGAAGCTCTCATCTATCAAGGAAATATATATCTTACAGATTAAATCCATCATAGAAGTCCAACTTAACCATGATGTGGCAAATCAATAATTATGTGTTGATGCTCTCAAATATCAAGGAAATATATCTTTAAAGAAAATATTTGATAATATCCTGTTATGATTTGCATCAATTTTTAGTACCAGATTAGGATACTTACCCTTGAAAATGATTAACATTTCCATCTTTATAAATAATGACAAGATATTGGTTTTGATCTGCCGAAAATCTTGTCAATCTATTGCATTTTTCCCTCCATAAAAACAACTGAAAAGATATATCAACATCTTGCAATATACAAAACAGTCTTTTACATCACAGATTATTGTATCTGTTGACTTTAGCGCATCAAAATGTGGATAAAATATAATGCCTAAAAGTATGTTCAATTAAATTTTCATGTGAGTATTTAAAACTATTTATAAAATTTACCCTTTTAGGTCCACATTCAATCCTTGCTTCACCACCATGATTGTAAACCAATGCCTGGAAGGTAAAATAAATAGATAAAATATGATTAAAATTTTGAAAGCAAACATGTGGGATACCTTGAAATTCTCATGAACAAAACAATACTAACAGGTAAGATCTGATGTTAAACATACATTATGCAAGAGCCTGAAATGTTATCTAAATTATTAATTAGATATTAATTAACTTATCCAGACAATAATCAACTCTCGATGGCATCGCTAGCCTACAATCTTTAGTGGATTATGATCCGATTTACTGCATAACTTTCCTTCACAATTTAATGATTAAATGGATAATCGAGACAATGATATTTGTCTACCGACTTTAGTAATGATGATCGAGGCTAGGCGGAAATTTCAATCGCTTAATTCTCAGTTCATAGAGGATCAATTTGACTGAAATTTTCAGCAAATTGACTTTACATTATCTAGTTTTTAACTATTATAGTGAGAACTGCCAACTCGTTATCTAATCTCCCATAATGTATCTTTAATGATCAGCTTTATAATTATCATTTGCACATATATGTGGAGAGAGAGAAATGGGATTTAACGTCCACTTGACACCAGGACTAACACATAGTTCAATTTTATTTCAATAATTCGCTTGAGCTTAGGGGTCTTTAGCATTGGGAAGAAACCAGAGGACCCAGCAAAAATCCACAAGTTTGGTCAGACAACCCTACAAGTGGGGAATAAAAACCACGACACATGACTCAATGACAGACCTTGTGATTTCACGTGCAAGCGATAAACCACAAGACCCCCCCTCCCCATTTCTGCATAGGTCCCACATCCCACACATGTTTCGACAAACTTTGACTATCCTACACCGTAGTGTCATAAGTCACAATAAGTCACAGCATACATTTCAACTTTGCTGACTTAAATTGTACTTTTCAACAATTGATGTTCACACTAAATGACACAATCTAGTACCTTGTTGTAGGACTATAGACTTACCTGTTCACCAACTTCCAGTATCTCCCAACCTATTGTCATATTGATAAAAACAGCTGTATACAATTAATCTGAAAAAGATACAATAATAAGCTTACCATACTCTACTTAAAAGGAGTGGATAATAAACCATTTTGTATTTTCAAACGGAAAGTTTATTTATTCAACTCAAGGGCAATAACTCTGTAATTTTAAATAACAATAATAATAACAGTATATTAATAAATGCATTGATTCAAATGCTAACCCCATCATCATCTGAAGTTTTTGTCAAAATTTAATAGGGATAGGTTTTGTACATAATTTCCAAAATTTCAGAATGATCTACATGATGTGATAATTTCCAAAACCCTGGACTGTAGGTTTTGTAAATGTACAAAAAGCATGAATTTTGTAGACCTTTACTGACCCACTCTTGAGCTCTCCATGCCATCATTCTCAAAATAGCCATAAAAAAAAGAAGTTTTGGCAAGTAATAATTCCTCTAAGAATATGTATCGGGTACCGGTAGTCCTACTGCAAATATGACAAAACAATATTTCACTTTCTAACAATGAGCCTTTAGCTATAGTCCTACTTTTTTTTCTAGAACCAGGTTGTAATGATTAAGTAATGTGTGCTATTTGGGAAATTTTGCTTGGACAAGTTCATTTATGTATGCCAAGGACGCCAAGGTGTACACAGCTGGGTTGGGTTTCTTTTTGTCCCACCCAAACTCCTAAATGCTGTTCCTTGTGGACCTCCATCCATCCTGCACCACTAGTTCACTACAAGAAGGGGAAACCCCACCAGACAATCCTGAGGAACATTCTCTGCCAAAACTGGGCAAGTGCTTGCTCAAATTGCCTTTAGGAATAATAAAACAAAAGGAAGAAAAAAATGATTTGCCATTAGTTCTAAAATACCTACTGTTTGTAATAGCAGTCGGGGATCATCATGTGGATTATTGATTTGGAGGCACACCGCCTCACCTTGGGATGAGTGTCAGTTGGGGCCATTCTAAAAAATTTTGAAATTCACTTTTTTAAATGATGTCAAGAATGCTACTACAGGGAAAAAATGCCCGCTTTGATCGCCTGGCAGGTGGGCCCTCCATCATACAGTCCATCTCTGCCCATCTCTGAGCCACTCAGGGGTTCATGCTCAGGGAGGCATGGACCCTTTTAATGACCGTGGAGCCCCCATGAATTTTGAAAAATGAACCCCAAATATGTGATTTTGTGGCATATCTGATTATAATCTCTGTCAAATAATATATACTATTCAAAAAAAGTAGGGGATATTTGATTTTGGGGGCATAATACTAAAATATGCAAATGACTACGAAAAAAATCACTATAGAACCTAACAGAAGAAACATTTCCAGTTACATGTGACGCCCAAACGCACCAATAGCTACCGCATGGAATGCAGGTGATGCTTGGGATCATCATGGGGGTCCAACCCAAGATTTGCACGACTCTGACTTTGAATGTTACAGTCATTGTGGCATTGAATTCCAGGGTGGAAACATCAGTTTAATTGTTTTAGTGACCAGAAAACAAATTTTGATATGCGTCGGCTTACCCAAAATGAAAGGTTACGTGCCCTTGGCATGCTACAGATCGGCACAACACAGGCGGTTGTGGCGCGGACGATGAATGTTTCTCAGGCTATGGTCCAGATACCGTGATACACAATCTGTACAGGATAGACCACGCTCAGGTCGACCAAGGGCGACAACTCAAGCCCAGGATCGATTTATCTGTACCTTGGCCTTGAGAAATCGTGTCATCACAGCAAATCAGATCAGCGCTCGTCTTCAAACAGACACTGGTGTGAGAGTGAGTGGCCAGACGATTCGGAATCGACTGCATAGGGGTCACCTTCGCGCCCGACGTCCTCGCGTGATCCCTTGTTTGAGAGATCATCACATTCAGGCAAGACGTCGTTGGTGTAGGGATCGTAAACACTGGGATAATCGACGCTGGAGCAATGTGATGTTTTCAGATGGGTCAAGGTTCACTGTTGATTTTTTGGACAGACGTAGGAGGGTGTGGCGTCGTCGAAACGAGCGCTTCCAAGACATAACGTCATCAGACATGATCGATTTGGGGGTGGTTCTGTTATGGTGTGGGGAGGCATCACTGTTGCTGGAAGAACGGCTTTACATGTTGTTGCAGGGCGTGTTACAGGCCAGTACTACCGGGACAACATCTTGGCAGTCCATGGCCGCCGTTTCATCTTCCAGGATGACAACGCAAGATGTCACAGGGCCAGGATCGTTACAGGTTACCTCCAACAATAGAACATCACCACATTACCTTGGCCAGCACTGAGTCCTGACCTCTCCCCCATCGAGCATGTCTGGGACATGCTTGGACAGAGGTTACGTCAACGTCAACAACGTCCTGCCAATGTCCAAGAACTTGCTGCTGCATTGCAACAGGAATGGGACAATCTGGACCAAAATGACCTTAGACGTCTCATTAGGAGTATGCCACGTCGGATCAATGCTTGTTTGGCAAACAGAGGAGGATTTACCCGTTACTGACTTGGTTGTGATGCTGTGGTAACTTTGCTGTTTGACCCCGGGTATCATTTTACCCTTATAATGGTCAGTCTGTGCCTTACTTAGTCTAACGATCATTTGGAATAAATCGATGAATGTGAACTTCATTTCATTTTGTCATTTGTTTCTTCGTCAGTTTCATTAGGTGACTTTAATAACACTTAAAAATCAAATATCCCCTACTTTTTTTGAATAGTATATCTCATAAACCGATTAATTTAGGCCAAAACCCCGACCTGCAAGTAATTTGCAACCATCTACCTGTGAAATTATCCAATCGGCATATTTTTAATTAACGTATTATCATTGTATCGCCAAGACCAGCTATCATCAAATTTTGCTGAGGCCTTAAAATTGAAATTTTTTTGGGAGTTACGAACCATCGGCAGACGTTTCTGGCGTATCACCACAAACAGGGTGCAGGTGACTTAATAATAAGTAAATTTGCGGGCGACAGTGTCGGGTTAATCCGATGAAATTTGCGGATGAAATTTGGAATCCCCATAGCAGGATTCCGAATTCCGGCCCACACCCAGCACACCCGGCCTAGAAAGTCTATTATACCAGCCCGCTGGCCCAATCCGCCCCTGTTTTATACTGACTTGCCCAATAGCCCACTGTCGTAGGCCCCTGTATTGTGATTATGTTCACTGTTCACTAGAGAATGATTTTCTACGCTGGAAAACGCATTTGCAGAGCTGTCCAAATTTCAAAATTTTAAAGTTGAGGACCCTGGAGTCCCCTCCATCCAGGGCCAGGGGGAGAGACCCCCAGCTGCCCCCCCCCTCCCCTGGACCTCATCATTACGTTCATTGTTCAGAGTTCGCTATAGAAACGCAATTGCGACCGTCCAATTTTCAAAACATTTCGGGGCTAGGGGTGAGAGAACCCACCGATTGCCCCCGCTAAAAAGTTCACTAACCCTCCACAGCCAGCAAGCTGGCTACTAGATAACAAACCTCATCTCTCAACAAACACATCAGTATATCGGATACAAACCAGCTTCATTAATTTAAACCCGAATATTTGGAATAAGGTGATATATAGTTGTGTCACTAGGGCTACATTGGACCATGTAAGTTTAATAAGTCATAATAGTATAAAATTATTTCATTTTTAAGATGTTACATGTATTAATATAAAAAAAATTGAGTATGCCACGTTAAACTGAAGGCTCCCAATCGTCGTAGCTAAAAACAAACACATTATTAAGTTTCAAACAACTAACAAGTTTATCTCAATGATTCTCAACGTTTTTAGCTACGTTCTCGTAGCTTGCTGGCTACGGACCTACTGTCGAACATACTGATACAGGTACATCATATTTGGTTTGCACCTACTTACAGTTACACACTGGTTGTTTTTTTCTTCAGAATATAATTTTCTCTGTAGATCTGGTGATTGTCCTGTAAATTCAAAATTGTAACTCTGTTAGTGTTTCCACAGTGTTTTATATCTGTATAGTCTAGATCTACATCTGTAAAATTACGAAACATATAAACATGTATTGTCAAGTCCGTGTTTGCTTATTCTGCATGATAAGTAAGGCTAAATATATTAATATAGATACATCGTGCACTAAAACATGCCAAAGGTTCTATTTATAAACCATAAAATTATTTATTTCCAAAATGTCAACAAAGTAAATGGGTTCCACGTCACGAATATGTGCGCACCGTACTCGTAGTCTTTCTCCACCAGTCTTCGTCATAGTTACAGCGTCAAAATGGCGACGTCCATTAAAAGTAAAAGTGACATTTTATTAGTAAGTTGAAATTATATGTGGTAAAATGTCGAATAATCATATTTGATATCAAATCGAATAATTTACTGCTTTCTTCAAATGGCTGTCCAATCCATTTTTTATGATAACCGTCTTTTCACGCCTGCAGTGTGTGCCAGAAAGAGCTACTAGTACTAGTACTACAGCTAGGACGCTAGGTTATTTCTGGACTAACATATATTATTATGGTACAATATCTAAATTATTTCAATGATTTGCTTTCACGTAGACTAGGGATCTTTGCTGTAGGCCTACGTTGGAAACCAGTTGGCTTTAGGAACTGTCTGGGATCCGACGCTGCCCATTGTACGTCGCCATGGCTCTAGCCTAATTTAGTAATTATATTATAAATTAGGCTATCCCTCCCTATATTAAGCTGCGTGCAATTTGAAAATTCCGGTCTTCCTCACCTCTGTTCTAAAGCTATTTTGGAATCCTTACCTTCTATATTTCACTGTGAATGTGATTCTTTATTTTTCGCCAAAAGGAATCATTTCTCGCCACATTATACATAGCTACCGGTAGGGAGAGCGATGCACAGTAAGCCATGGGTCATGCACATTGGGTCAAAATATTTTGGTTTTACAATGATCTACATAAAAATGGTTTCAATTTAGTAACTTCTTAACATCACTGTTAAATCGAAAATATGACTGGCTTCAACTGAGTACATAGTTTGATTCTCTGTAGGACTTCACTTCTGGTCAATTTACTAAAAAAAAAGAAATCATGTCCACTGTGCCCCGCTCTCGCCTACACAAATTTATAATAATTCAACACTATTTTAAAGTAGAATTTTGCGATTAAAAAAACATGCTGTCTGCGCATGTTCAAGTCTCGTAATGTCTGATCAGTTCAAACATATTTTGTGTATGTTTTTCAATCACAAAATTCTACTTGAAAATAGTGCTGAATTATTAATTATAAATTTGTGTCATGTGGCAAGAAATGATTCCTTTTGGCGAAAAATAAAGAATCATTGTAAAAAAAAAGTAAGGTAAATAAATATTCCAAAATAGGTTTAATAGGAACAGATAGGAATGGTCAGCAGACAGCATCCAATAAAAGACCGTTCTTAAAGGAACCAGAGATCATGGAGAAAACCAACGATTTTGGACAGGAGACCCTCTATAGGATATAGGCCTACCCCTAGTTTAACTGCCTGTCCTTGTCAAAAGTAAACGATCCCATATTGGTATATTATACTTATAGTGATTCTTTTATTGGTTGAAATCAGTTAAATTTTTTACCATGCTTGCAAGAGATCTCAGATATTTTTAGCTACTGTACCGGTAATCACAGTGTCAGTCAATTACATCTCCTTGTTTTTGTGACTAGCATATATCAATCTGATTAAAATACAGATCTATATTTCGTTTTGTTTTTTCCTATACTTTCAATGGCCTCTATTACATGAAGATCTGACCCTTTTGTAGTGGGAGGTTGCGTCAGGGGTCATACAAGTGGCTTTTGACCTATGATGTATCAATTTAACCTATCAGCGTTGATGTTTCTAGAGGGATACCCACAGTTCCGTGCATAAAATGCCTAGAACTCGCTGCAACAGACCGTTTCATTGGCTAATCCCTCTTCCAGATCCAAATGTAGTAAAGGCAAGTAAAACGAAATTTTGAACTGTTTTAATCAGATTGAGCATGTATAGGTCTACTTGCAAATTTCTACAATGACCCAAAAGTGCATATATGATATTATGATAGTGATTCATTTGTAGATTTAAATCCATCAGAAATATTTATCTTAGCTTGGAAGATCTCAGATATTTTTGACCACCCCACCACTGATTTTAGTCCCCACCACCACCAGTTGTGAGTAGCTATCAACTACCAGTGCATTTTAAATCTAATCTCTTGCTCAAATTAACAATTTTTTTTTTTCTTACTTCTTACCTGCTTGACTGATTGATGTATTTTATGTTGGAATTCATTATTTATTTTCCAGACAACCGATATACCTGGGCCAATAAGTCACAAAAATATGGGACATAAACTTTTACGACGACCAAGAGCTCCAGATCAACCGGTTGTTAAAGAATCAGAAACATCAACTCCATTGAAGTTTGTTGAACCAGAAACGAGTTCACCAAGTAAATATTACCCAAATACGTCTGACATAGAATCGAGAACGGAATCACAATCAGCAGAATACACTAACAGATTTTCACCTGTGTCTCCTCCTCCACCATCAGAGACTTTACCAACTAGATTATCTTATCCAGCAAGAACATTTATATCTCGTGAAAGTCACGTAACCTCTTTTATAACAAAAGATGATACCAAGTTTATATTGGATCCTATTTTTCGTGGACGAACAAGTCTTGGAACGTATGTGGATGGTAAAAGTTTGGTTAAACCATTCAAAACTAGAGGCCCTGATCCATTTCCTCTTCGGCAAACCAAACAATTTCCACCAGTTTTCACAGAATTTAATACAGATGATATCCACTATCATCAGCCTCCTGCTTTCACCTTGGAACATTTTCTCGGACAGGTGTCCAAAACAGAAAAAATTCCCCTGGTTAAAGTGAAGGAAATTATGTATTCCACTTACAATTATAAAAAATTAACTAAATTATTGACAGATCGTTTTATACATAGAACAAAACCAGGAGCTATTAAAGCAGCCAACAAATATATAACACCAGAAAGTAAGTGGACTTTAAGCCTCCTGTTCTCTTTCTCAGATATTTCTTTGTCATAAATGAAGAGTCACGTGGAATTGACACATTTATTTTTTATTTTACAAAAATTAAAGACAGTTAACTTCTTAGATATTAAGGGTCCAAAAAAATGAAATGATGTTTATAGACCAACCACCAAGGTAATGACGATTGGCATACACCATGCAGTGTGCCATGATAAAATGTTTGCCCAAAATGTGACATTTTTGTCTGGTCCTCATCCAATTCTGAACTGTTCCTTGCCAGGCCTCCTTTATTGCACCACTGACAACAGCACCTGTAGCGTATTTTATATCTTCAGACCTTAAATACTAACAAATATATGTATAGGAGTTAATATATTTTAAATGCAGTATTTTTATCACATGCCTTTCTCTATAATTCTCACTGATTTGATTTCTTTACTTGGTTTAGGTCAGAATGTACCAGCATATGAACCAAGAGTACCACAAAGACAGTTATTGATAGAAATGGCTGCCATGATAAAGAAACATGTGAGAGATGTGACTAACACTGAAGTCAAGACACTGATTAAACCTATGCCCAAATTCTGTCCATCATATGGCAGTGAAATGGCACCACATACAGAGATTATTTTATATGAAGATAAATCAACAGATCGTATTAATCTACATAATAAAAATAAACAGTGAGTCTATGTATGGCATCATCTTAAACTTGGACTGTGGCGCTGATACAATATTCATCCATTAAAACATAACATAGAAAAACAAAAAAAAACAGAAATTTTTTAATAACGTGTAGAATGTTAAAAAGAAGACTGTAAATTTATTCTTACCTAAATCTTCTGTCTTTCTTATTAAAGATACATTATGGGAGATTCGATAACGAGTTGGCAGTTCTCACTATAATAGTTAAAAACTAGATAATGTAAAGGCAATTTGCTGAAAATTTCATTCAAATTGATCCACTATGAACCGAGAACTAAGCGGTTGAAATTTCCGGCTAGCCTTGATCATCATTACTAAAGTCAGTACGATAAACAGCATCGTCTTGATTATCCATTTAATTGTTAAATCGTGAAGGAAAGTTATGCAGTAAATCGGCTCATAATCCACTATAGATCGCAGGCTAGCGATGTCATCTAGAGTTGATTATGGTCTGGATAGGTTAATTAATGTCTAATTAATAGTTTATATAACATTCCAGGCCTAAAGAAAGACCTGCAATAGGCAGATTTAGCTCTTGCATAATGCATGTTTAAGCCTATATGGCTTATTAAAAAGTAAACATGCCTTCTTAAAAACAAGTAATAAAGTAAAATTTGATTAATTAAAAAAGCTCTGATTTAAACTTTGGTTCCGATTTAAGATTCTTCTTAAACAGATTAAAAGCTTTTGTGTGTCCTGATATGCAATTCCATCCACTTTATAACTAATATTCACTTGGCTATATGCTATATATACAATCTGATTAAAACACAGATCCAATTTCATTTCGTTTTTATAGTTCAAAATTTCGATTTTACTTGTCTTTACTACACTTGGATCTGGAAGCGTTGTTATGTAACTCGTGTTCTGCTTGAAATGAGGGGTCAGCCAATCAAATGGTCTGTCGAATTGAGCGTTTGACCTTTTTTGCGCGGAACTGTGGGTAGAAATTAGCGGCAATAGAAATCAAAACAAAGCAAAAGTAGATAAAAAATACATGGCGGCCGCTAATTGGTTAATCGAATGCCTGACGTAATCGGGTCAAATGTCGCTTGCTTGGTACCTGACGTCATAGAACGTGAACTCCCACTATAACTTGTTAGATCTAGATGCATGTAGTGTAGGCCATCGAAAGTAAAAAAAACGAAACAAAATATAGATCTATATTTTAATTAGATTGGCTATATATATAGACCGTGTGGTCATAAGTTTTAAGACTTTGGGGGGTATTTTTGTTTCTTAAGTAACTTTTTGTTTTCACCTGTATTTTATTAGAGAAACTGAACTGCCAGAACAAGATGCTGTGTTCCATTCAGCAAGATCACAATATTTCCAGGGTTCTGGTCGAAGCAGATCACCATTTAGTAAGTCTGATGTTTAACAGTTCATGCACAGTAATTGCAGGGTTGGTAATAAGTGGCAAATGGTCGTTTGGGTTTCAGGGAGAATGCCATGCTTAGAAAACGGGCGAACAACCCTTCATTCCCATGTAAATCGGCCTGTTCTTTTCGTATACGACAAGGCAGGCAGTGGGTGAGTGTATAGAAGGGGTATTCCAATCATGTGATACTTGATGACTCAATTTTAATCCCTTGTCAACTACACAGCCGTTTTAAAAATGGCATCGCCCACAATGAAACCGGAAACTGTGAGACATTGCATTAAAGACGATTGTTGTGGAGATATCATTATGACTTCTCGGATGAGGTGAACGATGACAATAAACTGACAAAACTGATATGTAGTACGTACAACACTGAAATACGACATGAATCAAGCTGACGGGTCAGAGTTTTGACTCATTGCTTGCATACCGGTAGCCTACGTTGACAGGGTTAACTGCATACATGGGCGAAAAAATTGATTCATATTCATATTTTACTCCTCAATTCCTACAGGTTACCACAGACATTCTCATGAATAATACAATACATAGCACTAGAAAACTTGATGGGTTACCATAAATCATTTTCAGGCAACCTGTTAGGTTACTATCCTATATTTTGTGGTAACCTGTAAGCATCCGGCCGTTAATTCCAGCCCTGTAATTGTAAAATATCATTCAATGAAAAGCTATCAACCTACTTCAATAAATTCCACCATATTGTATTTTAATCAAAATGTAAATCTGCACCAAACTATTAGAAGTATTTTCATCGTCTAGAGTTACCCACCCCTTTTCTAAAAAAACCTTGTAGGTGTAGCTTTGTTACCTGCTACTTTTCTCTTGTGATTTTCATGACATGCTAAAAGTATTATTTTCTGTTAATTTGCAGACGTAGCTGGTGAAGGAACCATAACTCCATCTGAACTAGCTATCCTAGATTCTTTAATCAGTGGTGGCTCTGCTCTAAGCTTAAAGGTAAAGAAACTTTTTTTCTAAGAAGGAGAAATGGCAAAATGGTTTTATATTGCTACATGTGTTGCTCTCATCGCTAGTCCACCAATACAACAATTTATTAAGTCTATTCCTTTCTATATGTGTACCCATGTAATTCATTGAACATTTCAGCGATCTGAAGAATATTTTTATACGCCCACATTTTCATGTGGATGTATATTGTCGTCGCCCCTGTCCGTCAGTTCGTCCACAATTGTTTGTGAACACTCTAAAGGTCACAATTTTTATCAGATTTCAACGAAACTTGAAATATAGGTTTATCACCCCTAGATCTCGGTTCCTTTCGATATTGGCATGTATCGGACTGTAACTTCATGGATTATGGGCCTTGATTGTACGAAAAATCACGTTTTTAGCTTGTGAACACTGTAGAGGTCACAATTTTCATCCGATTTTGTTGAAACTTGTAATGTAAGTTAAAAACCCAAAGATCTCAGTTCCTTTTGATATTCGCGCAGATCGGACCGTAACTTCCTGAATTATGGCCCCTGATTGTACGAAAAATCACGTTTTTAGCTTGTGGACCCTATAGAGGTCATAATTTTTATCCGATTTAAAAAAATGTTTAGTATATCACCGTTACACCCTATGGATGGCTGAGTTCGAATTTCATGAAAATCGGACCAAAACTGACTGACAAAATGGCCGCCCATTGTTCTCAGATAGGTAAAAATATGGTATATCAAGGTTGTGGACCCTATAGAGGTCACAATTTTTATCCGATTTTGATGAAAATTGAAATACATATTTATAACCCAAAAATCTTTGTCCGTTTCGATATTTGCACATATTGGATTGTAACTTCCTGAATTATGGCCCTTGATTGTACGAAAAGTCGAGTTTTTAGGATGTGATCCCTCTAGATGTCACAATTTTTATCCGATTTAAAAAAACGTTTGAATATATCACTGTTACACCCTTATAAATGATGGTTGAGTCTGAAATTTGTACAAATCGGACCAAAACTGCCGGACAAAATGGCTACCCCTCGTACGCAAATATTGTAAATATATGGTAGATAGGTTTTGGACCCTCTAGAGAGAGGACACAATTTTGATCCGATTTTGATGAAACTTGAAATACATGTTTATAACTCAAAGATCTTGGTTCCTTTCAATATTCATGCATATCGGATCGTAACTTCCTGAATTATGGCCCTTGATTGTACGAAAAATCCCTTCTTTTTTTAAGCTTGTTCTCTGTCCATCTCTTGCAAAATGTGGGCGTATCTTGCATGGCAACCACTTGTTTTTTTATTCTTTACTTTCTTTTTTTCTGAATATTTTGATTTTAGAATAATTTTGTATTTTTGAATACTCACAGCTTCAGATTTAACCTTTGATGGTAAATTATTTATTTTAGGCACATTTTATCAGTGAATTACCAGATATATCTCCTATGGTAAACACTATCACGTATCTTAACTTGTCCTTTAATGATTTCAGGGTAAGTACAGTCATAATGACCAAAATGTTAAACCTTGTTTCCCCTACGAGCAAGCGAAATATTTGACATAAAATTGAACTATATGTTAGTCCCGAAATTAATTATTTTGTGTTAAGTGGATGTTAAACCTGATTTATCTTTTTTTATCTCTAAACCCGGTTTCATTTTATAGCAGAGGACATTTACCTTATTTTTATTACAATATATGTCTCTAATAATAATATTTACAGTAAAGGAATAGAGTTTAACATTGTCTCAACACAATATTTAGTCTTTTTGAGACTAACATGCAATATTATTGTGGAGAATTTTGTCTGGTTGGCAGTGTTTCTCTTTGAAATCCAACTGTCATTGACATACACACCAATGTGTACACGGTGGACCTCAGGTTTTCGCACCATCCAAACAAATCCAACAGTTATGGGTTCTTTTACGTACACACCAATGTTTATACAGTGGACCTCAGGTTTTTGTACCATCTAAACAAATCCAATTTCATGGGGTCTTTTACGTACACACCAATGTGTACACGGTGCACCTCACGTTTTTGTACCATCCAAACAATTTCAACTGTCATGTGTTATTTTACGTATACATGTGTGTACATGGTGGACCTCACGTTTTTGTACTATCCAAACAATTCCATGGAATTATCATGGGTTCTTTTACGTACACACCAATGTGTACACGGTGGGCCTCACGTTTTTGTACTACCCAAATGACTAGGCACACATTACAAATGGCAACTGGGATTGAAGAATCCCAAAGGTTCTTTTCAGCTTAAACCCAGGACATTCTAGTCGAAGGAAAGTCCCTATCTACTCAACTGCCACAACACCAATATCTTTAGTAATGACTTTTTGCTATCTACATTCTTATAATCTTAAATGCAAATAAAAAGAGTTTGGTTATTAAAAAAACAAAATTTTTCAGGAGCTCTAGATTGTATTATCGAATATTTATTAAATAATATTTCAGACAATACCTGAAGAGGTATTAGATATACATCAACTACAGATATTAAAGATGAGAAATAATCCTTTAATGTCGCTACCATATGATATTAATAGACTGAGAAATCTGAGAACATTAGTGGCTTCTTTCTGTTTAATTACTTCTTTACCCCACAGGTAAGTATTATTCTTCTAAAGTTTTATTATTCTGTTCAAGATCTGCCAGAAATTGTAACTATATAATACACATAATTTAATAAAAGATATAACTGTTTCAGTAAAATTGTTCAACACATGTTTCAGTGATTTGTGTAATCATCTTAGATATTTTTATCCAAACCTTTCTCTGGGTTAATAAGACTCACATATAATTCATTTAATGACTAGTAAAATTAAACAATTAACTTCCTGCAGAAATCAATGATGGTTAAGTTAATTATTTTCTACTTTTAGTTTTTTTGGAATGAAGACATTAGAACATGTGAATTTATCTTATAATAAACTCTCCTCTATTCAAAACAATATCAGCAAAATGAGGTGAGTAAACCAATGTTTGCCCATCTCTTTAAACTCAATGGGATTTTAAAGTATCTTTAATATTCATTCATATATACAACCTATTCAATTAGGCCATATAAAAAAAATATAATGGGGAGGGAGTTTCTATTTAGATATGCCTACGTTTGTGTGTGGACCACAGTTTTTAACAGATATTTTCAAATTTGGTGAACCCTATCAATATTCAAGGTTCCTTCATCTTCCATTATTCATATTTCAGATATTTATTGGAGTTAAATCTAGAAGGTAACCAATTGCCAGCCATGCCAAGTGGAGCTTTAAAACTCAATTTACAGTATCTTAATGTTAAAAATAACTTCATGCATCCTTTATTCTGGAAGGAAAATACATACAATGAGCCACAGGTTAGTGTACTAAGATAATCTTTAAGTTCACATTATCGAGTATGTAAGTTTTTGTATTTTTGTAAACTAAAACAGTGGAGGCTATTAAACTGATAGAAATTCTGCTCTTTGATCTTGATGGTACTCTCTTGCATTCAGCCACATTATGACATGTTAATTAGGTGTCGCTGTGTTTTAAACACAGAAAAAATAAAATTTGTGATAATGATAAAAAAATTTTTTTTAGATTAGTTACTCACCTTTCTAGGCATAACATGGTAGAATGCATGAAATTTGGGATTTGGTTTATTGATTTAGAAAAATGCATATAATTTGCTCATTAATAAATCTTTGCACATTTACTTGTGTAAAAAGCTCAATTTTTCTTAATAGAGGTTAACTAATTTTGTTAATTTAGGAAAGATATGTTATGTATTTTATTAGAATGAATGTAAGGATTGTTAATTAATTACGTGATATTAACTTCTTTAATTCCATCAATGTTTTAATGTAGGTTATTAGTTGTCATTTAAAAAAAATGACCTTCTCCATGTCAATATGTTTTCTGTATTCTATCAAGTCTAGGGGTAAAGAGTAGGCAAGTTAAGACAAAAGTATTTTCTTGTCATTCTCAGATTATAACTTGTTAGAATGTCTTTTTTCCAGAGATTAAGTGATATATCATCACTTGTTATTTATAATAGCGGTAGATATAATCTAACTAAGGGTTTACCAGATGCTGTTGTTGGGGCATTTCAAAGGTAAGTGTTCAAAGATAAACTATCTCACCATTTTGGAATACCTACCCAATACCACTTCTCTAAAGCGTTCACATAGGTAACAAAGTACTATATATACTTTTTATTAGAAACATATTAGATCATTGGCTTGTTCACAAAAAACTTTAACTAAAATATTTTAAAGGAGCTAAACCTATAACTCAATACTTTCCATAATGTTAGAAATAAATAACACAAATTAGAATTCCATATTGATGCATTTCAATTAATATTAATGTTATCTTGATGTAAAAATTTGGGATACAAATTTCCAAAAGACAGAATGAAAATTTTATATTCAATGACAATACACAAGTCATGTATTCTATGCATGTGTCAGGTGACATTTGTAATGAACAAAGAAAAACATATCCTACAAGACAATGCAGAAGTTATTAGTAATGGCTGATTCACGATGACGTTTAGAAATTGTCCACGTGACTTAAAGAGGGTCACATGGATAATTTTCAATGGTAATCGTAGACTTGATTGTCTACCTAGCAAAAATAGTGAGTATTGCCATTGGTTGATGGAATCTAGAGTAGTGAACTTTGATTCCAATTATTTTATTCCAACCTGATTCTCACCTTGGTATTATTATTTACTGAAAGAGAATCAGTTTCAGACGAGTTATTTGCCCCTGAGTTAGAAATTGAAATCAGACCAGTTATTTGATAATCTCGCTTACGAACATGGACGTAACAGACTTTAGACATATACTTAGTCATAGCTTGATGTTATTTTTGAAATATTTTCCATGTTCAGTTTCGGTGTTGGTCGTGAAATTCCATCAGAATTTTTTTTAGCATAGTTTGTCGTGAAATTCCATCATAATTTTTTTTAGCATAGTTTCCCCTAGTCAGTAATGTAGTCGTGCTGATGGGACAGAAAACAAGGTCCTGTGTACACATTATGTGCACGTAACAGTTGACAAAATTTCCCTGATAACACACTGCATGGCGTATCTCTGTCTTAATTGGCATTGTCAGTAGGAAGTTAAACCCCATTTCCTTTCCGAGTTTCAACTCTTCTTAGCCATCGAGTTTCAACTCTTCTTAGCCATCGAATAGAAAGTATCATTAACATTTATAATTAATTCATAGAAAATGAGCTAGTTCAGCAAGTTAAATTAACATCATGATCAGAAAGTTAAATTTAGAACATGTAGTTAAATTTAGTATAAGCTGGGTAAATAGAGATTGGCTTGTTAAATTAAGGCAATTAAGATTTGTTTGTTGAATTAGTTTTATCTAGTTAAATTAAGATCAGCTGTTAAAGATACATTAGTTAAGAGCTAAATCTGCCTATTGCAAGTCTTTCTTTAGGCTTCAGATGTTATAGATATAATCAATTAGACCTTTATTTACATGAAAAGCTCAAAATCAACTCTGTAGACCCTCGGATGGCTTGGATACAGCTTGGATTTCCAGTCGTCCATTTAATAATTAAATCAATAAATTGCTAACCAAGCAATGTTTACCCTTATTCACTGCCTGAGACTGTCGATGAAAGGCCTGCCAATTGAGAGTACTGTATGAGAATGTTACTTAATAATCAAGAATATGTTGATGGTTAGGTGGACTTATTGTCTGTCAATCAAATGATCGGCACAGTTGATGCTTATTTCTAGTCCAAACTTCCAACAGTGACAACTCAGTTCAGAATAAAGTAATTTGACTGAAATTTTCAATATTTTCTTTTTTTATCATCTATTTTTGAATTATTATAGCAAGAATGGCCAACTTTTTATAAAACTCTTAACTAATGTATCTTTAAATATGAATTTCTTTAACCTGAAAGGTACATAATATACACTCTATTGAATACTGCAGGGCCCGGTTCCTAGAAAATTCTTAAAGTAAGCACAATGTCATGCTTCACTTTTTCTTACGTATGAAACTTATAAAAATACGATCCCTAGAAAATTCTCAAGACCATTCTTACGTAAGCACAAGTCAAGTATAAGTCTAAGCACATTGTGACTGGTAAAGTTTACCATAAACGATAAACTGAGACTAGGATGCTCTTTAACGTCATAAAAACAACTTTGGTATGCGAATTACATCATAAATTTGTCGTCTGCTTCATTGACGTCATATATATATGGTTGATTTAGATGCATTTGACATATCCCCTATACACATATAAAATGTGCCACAAGATAAAAAAAACCGCAGACACATACAAACTAACTGAATAATTGTGAGAGTGCCTGATCTTAAAGTAGCCTGTGTGTTTGTAGCCTATTGTTTACTAATTAGCAAATAAATAAAATGGTTTCAGGGTAGAAGCAAAATTTTCTATAGGCCCCCTAGCATTCTTAATTTCTTCTGGAGAAGGATTTTCTCTGTCTTGTAATTGTCTCTTTGGTATCAAAAGGTGTCGGAAATGCAGTCGAATAACTCTACGGTCAGCCATCTTTTTCAAGCAGAAACAGACTTAAGGTTGGTAAGCAAGCCGTATATCTTGCTTGGGACTTGTGCTTAGATTGACTATGTTTAAGAACAAAGTTGGGCTTAAGTTTTTTCTTGGAACGCATAATAACGTTCTTGTGCTTACAATGAAGTCTACTTAAAATCTTAGCACAAGAACTTTCTTAAGAATTTTCTTGGAATACAAAATAAGGTAAGTTTACTTAAATGCAAAGTCTACTTAAAATCTAAGCACAAGAACGTGCTTAAGAATTTTCTAGGAATTGGGCCCTGGTACCACCAATTATAAAACTGTGTGCATTGTCTTTAATTTTTTTCACACTATATTGAGGATTTATTGAATTCTCCCAATTGATCTGTTGTATTGTATTCATTATTTGAACCGTTCATTGACCAGCCAGCTTAACTAGAAACATTTTCTGACTGTGATTTTATTTTTCTCATTAAAAAAATAAGTTTTTGAGATAGTTGACATGATTAACCACAAAGGAACATATCTGTACAAAGACAAGTATTAAATAGGACATTAAACCAAGTCTAAATAAGTTGATTGTTCCCATAGATTTTAATATCGGCTGGATTTAACCCTATACACAAGTTCTTACATTTTTCTTATAATGAATCAATGGTCAACTCTTTGATCTTATTAAAGACAATTACTGCTGTCTTTTGTTGTCTTTTTGTTTACTCAAACGGTATGCATTGTTTAAATTGTTTTGTCCCCAGTTGATGTCTTGTCATGACTTCATTATAAAATATCACAGCTTAGTGAATGAAAGTACACAGTTCATTATCGTTTTATAGTATTTTCATCTTTTATAGTTTTATGTCTATCTCTATTTTCAGACCAGCTAAATGTGATTGTTGCCATGGTGCTATGTTTGGCTCCGGAATGAGAATTATCCGACCCGTCTCAAAACTTTTTGGAATAAATAATTTACCATTTTTATTCCATGCCTGTAGTGTGTCTTGTTTGAACTTTTTCAAAGATAATACAGACACCTTATCTCAAATATTATATGGAGAGGAATAAAGCATTTTTTTTTTTATTAACAAATATTGATTTACATTTTGAAAGCTGCTTTCATGTACAAATAAAATAATTGAAAATGGTCATATTTAAAAAATTGAATTGCTTTGGAATTGAAATTATTGTTATGATTTATTTACTTAATGTAAATGTCACATGCTGTTCTTTCAGCTAATGATGTACAAAATAAAAGGATTCAAATTAAAACTTTTTTCTAGTTAAAGATGCATTATGTAAGATTTCAATAGAGACCTGGTGATTCTTGCTATAATAGTTCAAAAAATGAATTTTACCTTTAAATTTTAAAATAGTGTTGGTGTTTAATCCAAATTTCGGCCATCCTGTGGTATAGAGAGTTGATTATGGGCTTGTCATGTGAATAATTATAACATTTGAAGCCAGAAAAAATTTAGCTGATCCATAATGCATCTTTAAAACTCCAATTAGAGAAAATGATAAATGAAATTGTCCTAGTAATAAAAATATCAGAACTTATTGATCAAGACAAGCTGAGACATGTTACGGAATTGGTCACATTCGCATTTCAGTTATTGATCAAACTATTTTTTTTTTTTATGAAATGACACATTCTATGCTGACAAAAAAGAATAATCTTTTTTAAGCATACATTATGCAAGAGCCAAATTGCCAATTGCAGATCTTTCTTTAGGGAGAGAGAGAAATGGGGTTTAACGTCCACTCGACACAAACTAGCTCATTTCGGGACTAACATATGGTTCAATTTTATTTAAATCATTCACTTGCGCGTAGGGGTCTTTAGCAGTGGGAGTAAACCGGAGGACCCGGAGAAAACCCACAAGGTTCCACAGGCGACCCTACTCCTTGTCACGTACAACCGGGGAATCGAAACCCTGCAAGTTAACTCAATGACAGACCGTATGATATAGCGTGCGCGTGCTAACCATTCGGCCATCCAACCCCCCCCCCCTTTCTTTAGGCCTGAAATGTTATCTAAAGACATTAATCAACTTAAGGAGACCATGTTCAACTCTCGATGCCATCGCTAGCCTGTGATATTTAGCAGATTGGAATACATGATGATTAAGGCTAGGCTAAACTTCAAAAGCTAATATCTCGGTTCAGAGTGGAGCAATTTGACTGAAATTTTCAGCATATTCTATTTACGTTACCTATTTTTAAACTATTATAGCGCGAACAGTCAACTCTTTATCTAATCTTCCATAATGCCCCTTTAATAAAAGACTTTATATATGTCAAGCGGTTTTATCTGTACAATAATTGTATATTATAGGTTTCATATTGTGATCAATCTTATTAAAATCAAATGTCAATTACCCTTTTTTTCTGTTTGTTACTGAAACAACATTGAAATCTGAAATATTTTCTTTAAATCAAGTGTTCAGGTCATGTTATCTTATTGACTAATCATAATATTGTCTATATTGATATAGAGGACTTCATTTTATGGTGAATTATATAATGGGAGTTTTACAAGTCATGTTTATACAATAATCATCTACATATGGATTGGTGCTGGAGTGGAGTAGGTAGCTTTGAGCCAGTCAGTCTCTAATGCCTATCTCCCCCACAGTTTCTTTTCTTTTAGCTATGGATACTAGTCTCTTCGGCAAGGCAGTGCCATGGTCTGATGAGGAGTCTTGATGGCGAGCAGTTTCCCTGTCATTCTTAAGAATGCAGACATGATCCCAAAATATGTTTAAGTAGCATTGATGTGATTCCATTGGTCAAATTATACATATTATGTAACATATAAAAAATATAGTAAAAACATGTTTAGTGTTGAATAGTGCAAAGATTGTTATTTGGTACAATGGCTCATGAAAGCTACCACTACCAGTATAGGCTACAAGTAGCAAAAAGAGGCAAGATATTCTAATTTAAACAAGCCAGCAGTGAGGCTTATGTCCCCCGCCGAAATCCCCAAATAAATAGATGACACTGTTAATTTATTTATCGCGCATGTATTTTTTTCAAAAGTATCAAGCAATCAAACTGATTATCAACTAACACTAAGTTTCACCACTCTCTATCAGATAGAATCAAAGTTATCTTGTCCTAAAGCATTGATCAATGAAATTGCTTAGCTTTAGCTCGAAATGTTAATCATTGAACTCAGTCAAGACATTCACCTAATGAACATCTACATCAAGTTTAAACATTCTACCCCAATCAAAGGCAGAGTTGTTATGCTCCAAAGTCTTGACCAGTCAAATTGCTTATCTCTCCCTACCCTTAGCAGAAAATTCTCATCATCGAACTTAGTCAAGGTAAATGATATAATGAATTTATACTAGGAGTTTCATCACTCTCACTTAATTAGAACCAAAGTTATCGTGCCCCAAAAGCATCAACCAATCAGATTGCTTAGCGTAAGCAGACAATGTTTATTATCATCGAACTAGATCAAGGCATTCAGCTAATGAACGCCTACACCAAGTTTGAACATTCTACCTCAATTAAAGGAGAGTTACTGTGTTCCAAAGTCTCGACCAATCAAATGGTTCATCGCTCTGCTTACCCTGAGCAGAAAGTGCTCATTATCGAACTTAGGCATTGCTGTAATGAAACTATACTCCAAGTTTCATCACTCTCACTTAATTAGAACTAAAGTTATATTGTGTCCAAAAGCATCAACCAATGAAATTGCTTATCTCTGCGTACCTTAAGCAGAAAATGCTCATCTTCGAACTCCGTCAAGGCACTAGCCTAATAAACAGCTACACCAAGTTTGAACATTCTAGCTCAATTAGAAGTAGCTACGAGAACGTAACTAAAAACGCTGAGATATACTGATGTGCTTGTTTTTAGCTACGATTGGATGCCTTTAGTTCCAAGTGGCAAACTCAATTTCTTTATTAATGTATGTACCATCTTAAAAATAAGTTAATTTTATACTATTAGTACTTATTACACATACGCAGTCCAATCTACCGAAACAACATTCATTTATCAGCAAATATTGACAATAAAGTAAATCAAGCGTTGTTTTTATCAAAATTGATTCGGACGTTCATAATTACTCTGATCAGATTATTACTTTGATTGGCTATTGCACACGAGGCCCCGCCTTTATGTGTTACAGACGTAAATTTAAAATGTCGGAAAAAGCAATCTACTGTCGCTTTGATTTAAAAAGAGGGGATTTGTACCCGTTTCAGGTAGGATTATATGCTTAATTGTAGTTGGGTGTGGCAGAAATATTATATATAACAATAACCAATCGTTGTTTTGATTTAAAATATTGTCAATTTTGTTTACAAATGCCGGGTGCGAATCGCTCCCGCATGTGCTACATTGAAGGCAATATGGCATCATCTCTTATCTCGAAACATGGAGGGTTGAGAGATTAAGGTTTGTTATCTAAATTAGAAGGAGAGTTATTGCGTCCCAAAAAGTGTGACGGACAGACAGACAGACGGATGAACCCATTTTAATAGTCCCCTACTTTCTTTAAAAAAGGCGGGGACGATAAAGGCACAACAAGCCAAAACCAATTAAGATTGGTCTAGTATGTAAAAGAAGGAATTAGTTTTACTTAAGTTGGCTAAAACACATAAAGATGGTTGTGTGAAATCAAAGTAAACTAGCATATAAACAGAACACAGTTTTTATGGGATAAAATCACTAGTTTTATTCCAAAAGCACGACGTTTCGACAAATATCCTCTTATCGTTATCAAGCACAATGACATTTAGTAAACTTGAGGTCAATATATACAAAATTCATAGTGAAACCATCAACATGGATTAAAATAACAGTAATAAAAAGAATTTAAGAGGTAAAGAATATTTAACAAAAACAACAAGGTAATTAGCTTACTGAATAAACTCTAATACATGAGTGTGTGTGTGTGTGTGTGTGGGGGGGGGGGGTATTAACTAGTATGAGGCCCTTCAAAGGTGCCATGAATAAACCGGGTAAAGCTGATGAGGCACAGATAGTGAGGCCGTATGCATGAAATTAAATATGATATGGATTTATAGATACAAATATAAAAATACACAAATAATGGACATGTTTGGGAGTATCTATAATAGCGAAAACTTAACAATCAAAAGGGGAGATTTTAATACAACCAAGGGTGCTAAATTACCATAGTTAAAGATACATTTTAAAAGAGAGTTGGCCATTCTTGCTATAACAGTTCAAAAATAGATGATGAAAGAAGAATATATTGAAAATTTCAGTTAAATTACTTTATTCTGAACAAAGTTATCACTATTGTAATTTTTGACTAGAAATGGGAGTCAACTCTCTCTTCACCGTCTCCGAGAATGGACGATCGTTTGATTGACAGGCATTAACTCCACCTACATAATCTCGATTATCAAGTAACGTTTTCAATGGCTGTGGCTTGAGACGGGGTTGCAATTCAATTCGTATCACATTTATTTTTACTACAAATTAAAAAGTTGGAAAGGAATGGACCAAATCAATGAGGCATAATTATAGTTGACTTCTTGTTAGCCTGCGTGTACTCTTGTACTGTAGCCTAACTGGTAGGCCTGCGTAACTCCCGAACAGTGATCCAATGGAGCTGCAATTCAACTGGGGTGATGTTAGCTGCGATGTTTATCAATTTCTATAATTTTTCTGTAAACGCAAGTGACAAAAGAGCGTAGCCTATAATACCGACATCCAATCTCTCATTTTAAACACAACTAAACATAATATCAAGGCCGTATACATGTATATCGAACTTTCAATCTAAAATTATTTCCGGGACTATGACGTCAACGTAACGGTTAATCTTCGCTTACGACGCCATTTAAAAATTTAATCAATCAACGAAATCCTGTTTAAATCCAAGCCATCCGTGGGTCTACAGAGTTGATTTTGTGCTTGTTGTGTAAATAAAGATCTAATTTATATACTGAGCGCCATGGAAAACGCATCACTTTTTTTCCCAAATATTTTATTACTAGGTGGTTTTGTATGTATAATATTATGCAATACTATGAACTATTGTTTCACACAATGCTCCGAAACGCAAAAAATATCGGCCCGTGTGCACAAAAAAAAAATTGCACGAGATGCACATGAAAAACACAATATTCACGTGCAGCATTGTGTGTGAACCCTTTAAAAGCATGTTTTCAACTTAATGTGCAGTACATGAACTGTAAAACGTCAATCTGTCGTAATTTGTTGTTGGACGTGTGAAGGAATCGAGCTAGAGATGCCGAGACTTACTGAAAATCAACGGAATGAAGCCATGGGAATGTCCAGGGCTGGCATGTCTACACGTGCTATTGCCAGACACTTCAATTGTCATCAGTCCACTATTGTAAGGTTGGTGGAACGTGTTCAGGTTACTGGATCAACACGTGACCGTCAACGTCCTGTTCCACAACGCGTTACAACCCAGGCTCAAGACCGCTACATCCGGGTCACTCATCTGCGTGACAGATTCCGCCCAGCGACTCGAACAGGTGCAGAAGTAGAAATCCGTGCACGACGACCTTATGTTGGAGCTATCCTCAGGGATCATCACCGCCCGTGGCGTTTGATATGGGCTCAAGGACACCAGACATGGAGAAGAGTAGACTGGCAAAGTGTGCTCTTCAGTGATGAGAGTCGCTTTCATCTTTATCACGCTGATGGCCGTCAACGTGTGTGGAGACGTCATGGGGAACGTCTTGCAGACTGCTGCGTCTTCAAAACGAATCGATGGGGTGGGGGAAGTGTAATGGTGTGGGGAGGCTTCACATTTCATCACTGGACCGCCCTACACATTTGCAGGGGTCGCGTTAATGCTGTAGCCTACCGTGATGATGTCTTGGAACCAATTGTTCCGATGTTTCGAGCGCACCCACAACTTCAGCACTTCCAACAGGATAATGCACGTCCGCATACCGCCCGTTTTAGTATGGACTACCTGGCTGCTAACAACATCAATGTCTTGGACTGGCCAGCCATGTCTCCGGACATGGCACCGATAGAACTTGTCTGGGATGAGATTGGACGCCGTCTGTATCGGAGACCACAGATGCACACCATTGCTGCTTTAGAAGCTGCTCTTGTCCAAGAATGGAACAGTTTGCCCCAGGCCTTCTTTCAAACATTGGTAAATTCCATGCGACGTCGCTGCACAGCGTGCGTAAGAGCCCGTGGAGGACACACGCGCTACTGTCATCTGTGTCGTACTTTTGGTTTTGACCCCTCTGACTTTGTACCGTTGATTACAGAAAACATCCATAAGTGTACAAATATGTTGTTATTCATGTGTTCCCATTTGAATATTGTTCACAATAAGAAGCAAAATAAATAAGATATGTTTACAGGATCATTTTGTTATACGAAAAACTAAGTG